GGGGCTCTGAGCGGCCATGCGGCCTCTTGGATTTCCTCCCTCTCTTGGCCCTCTCCTCTCTTGGCCCTCTCCTCCCCTCTTGGACTTCCTCCCTCTCTGGGGCTTCCCCTCTCCTAAACCCTCTGTTTCTCTCTCCCCTCCCCCGTCCTCCTAAGCCCAGCCACGTGCTACGCCTGAGAGCACGAGGCCTGGGCATCCCTGAATTCTCCAATAAACCTCTTCCCCCAAGAGCAAGCTTCAGAGATCTCTGCCTCCCTACACCCCCAACCGTGCAGAGGAGCCTACTCTTCCCTCACAGGGCCTCACAATGTACTTAAGCATTTTGATGGAAAAACTATTAGCCTTACATTGTGGCTGTGTCTTTAATTCCTTCAGTTTTAGCTGGCTACCTTCAGCTGACAGGACCTGAGGGAATGGCTCGAAGCTGTGTCAGGGGAGGATTAGGTTGGATAATAGGAAAATGTTCTTCACCCAGAGAGTGTCTGGCCACTGAATAAGCTCTCTATGGAAGTGGCCACACCACAAAGCCTGACAGAGTTCAAGAAGCATTTGGACAATGCTCTAGGGTAGATGGTGGGAAATGCTGGGGTGTCCTGTTTAGGGCCGGGAGTTGCACGTGGATGATCCTTGTGGGTCCCTTTAAAGTCAGGATATTTTGTGATTCTTTTCAACATTGACCTTATTTTGCTAGAACAGTCCTTTTGCAGTGTGACAATGGGATACTTTTCCTGGTGGTGAACATCCTTGCACAGCTGGTAACTACTGGAGTGTGAAGTGCGAGTGTGGTTGAGTGGTCTGAAATGCTGAGACAGCAGAGTAGGTTAAGGGCAGTATTTTGCACTGTACTGATAAGGGGAAGTTGATTTCTGGTGTACATTTTTACACTTGCACAATATATGTACATGTATATACATGAAAATATATGCAGGACCTTTCCCCACCCCAAAATTCCAAACCTTGCCTCTGAAATTAATATAGCTGAAATATCTTACTATTTATTGAGATCTAAGAATGCAAAGCCTGGATGAAATACAGACTTTGAGGAGATTTTAAAGTGTACCAAGGAAGATGGATATAAAAATGTTGAATCATGTTGTTTTGGTGCTTTTGTGTTGGTTATGCAGAATTCTACAGTCATTGCATCCTGGTGGAGGACACAGGGATTCCTGTTACACTGCTAGCACAGAAAAATTCCTGGAGGAATGCCACAGGTTGCTGCTGTGCATCTGCTCAGAGAATCAACTGTGCCCAAAGCCATCAATTTCCCCCAGCAGTTCAACACACAGGAAAACCACCTGGAACTTGTATGTTGCAGTAAGTCATTCATGAAAGATGAATTACTGGGAAGTTGGGAATTTGTGTCCATCCAAATGCAGAGATGAGATGGCAGCCGTGTAAATAACTGCAAATCCCCTGAGGCAAAGCAGTGCTACATTTGAGCTGCAGCAGCCTGGGCCAGAGAAAGTGAGAGAAACCACAGCAGGACAGGTGAGGCACCAAAAATGCCCTTATCTTACCTGTGGCCTTTTGGACAAACTCACATTGTATTAACCCACAACATCAGATAAAGCTACTTTTAAAAACACTAATGTAAAAATGAGGTCTTGGGTGGTCATTTCTGGTTCAAGTAGCGGTTTATATATTTATTATAATTATACACAACCTTGACAATCTGTATTGCCATTCAAAAATAAATCCAAGTCTTGTCAATTGCACATGATCTTTCACTACTAAGGATCCCATTTACATACATGGTAAACATTTTCCATACTTAAACACCGCTTTAAATTCTGACGCTCCCATTTCCTCCCTCCTCATCCCCTGGAGTTATGGTTATCAATTATGGAAAGAAACTTTTCGAAACACTGCAACGTTCAGGGACTACCACCTTTTTTGATCAACTTAATTAAACTATTTCAACACTTAGTAAGGTGGCTGGTGGGTATAGCTCTTAACTGCATTTTTGTTTAAAGTTATTCTCGCTGGATTTCATTGCAGTGATTCCTGGTTTTCACTGCTTGACATATTTCCTTCTGACCAGGAAAGAAGGAAACCAAGGTTAACAGCTGTGTCAAGTAAGTCACATCAAGCACATTCCTGGTTTAATATTCTGCAGTGCCAAGTCACATTTACTTTTTTCACTATTATTTACATGTGTAGTAAGTGGTTGAAGTCTTCAAATTTCAACTGCAGAAAATTAAGAATTCAGCTAGGAGTCAGCCCCCACACACTTTCTGAAGCTACTAAGAGCTTGTGTTTATACTCCAACTGCTATCTTGGGAGCTGAAGTTATAATTTATGAGGCATTAACACCTTTTGTTAAACAACATTTTTTTTTTCCCCACCTCTTTTGAGTTTCTGTCTCCTGGTGCCTGAAAGATGAGAAAACTTAAGAGTAGCAGAAGAGGCAACAAAATATTCCTCCATCCAATCAATAAACTCACAGCTAGTGGCAACTAATATAAACATCCTTAGAGCAGGCAGACCTTGTATCAGCCCACAACTCAAGTTTGGGCATCTGAGCTTCACTTGGGAAGGACTCACAGAAGTGTGGAAGTACTACAGTGTGATTACACAGCACTGAAAAGTCCTGTTTTGAGGAATGAAGTTCATGATGGCACTGATCTATGGGAATTGCATTTAGCTGCTTTTTCTACAGTAGCAGCTGGGCAGGTGATTTGAACCAGCAAACGCAGCGTGTTTGCAACACAGATTCATGTTTTAGATGCAGCATTGGTTAACTGAGAGGCATGGAAAACCAGAGCTCTGGCAAGTGTAGATTCCACATTTTGTTAAGGCTGTTAATTTTTCACACTGGTGTCAAAAAATAATTGGGAAGGAAACCCTTCTGACAGCTCCTTGCTTGTTTCCTGAAATTACATTCACATAATCGTTACAGGAAAACCCAGAATTAAATATGGAGCATTTGAGAACTGTCATTAGCAATCTGTAGGAGAGATTGGCGTTCAGCACACAGAGATGTTGTAAAATACTAAGGAATTTCAAATGTTGAAGATACAAAGAAATATCTCATCAACACAGCGATTGGATGCTTTACCTTAACAGCTTCCACTTGTAGGTGGAGGAAGCAAAACCTCCATCCCACACACCCCAAGGTGTCCAGAACTCCAGAGCTAGACTGCAGACACTGCACTGCCCTTCCTGTGCTGCTGTGCCAGAGCCAGGGCATCTTCCCCCTCGCTCTGCCCTGTGGCCTTGGGAGGGAATACAGGTTGTGGAATACAGGTTGGGTGTTTCCCAGCTGCCTCTCCGAGCATTCAGGACCAGCTGCTTACTGTTCTGCAAGCATGCCCCAAAGGCAGTATTTAAGCAGTGCAAGGACATTGCCAGAAGCTAGCAAGAGAGAGGAGTCTTCCTTCAAATTCAGACATGCAAAATCAAATCCTTCACTCAAAATCAAGGGGTGTTTTGTCATGAAGCAGCAGCTTCAAGAAAGAAGTGCATAAAACCCTAACTTGAGTGTTACGAATCTGTTTATGTTACATTTGAAGTTTGAAGAAACTCCCTGGAGTCTAAAGTACTGTAATAAAAAAAGTGGAAAGGAACTAATGAATCAGTTCTGAACTAAACTTAGTTTAGTCAAGAAAATTAAAACAAAATATGTAACACTTCTGAACCTGATTTACAAAACTTTTGTTTTTTAAACAAACTCTACTGCCTTTACAAGGCTAGTGTTGCTTCCTTTTTTTTCTTTTTGTGGGACAGAGGGAGCGTTTTCAAATACTAGAAATGTATCTTGACATCAGCATAAAGTAAGACATTATCAACAAATACCTACTGTTATAATATAAGATGCAGAGCAGTACACTGCTGCTGGTTCCCTACCAAAACTTTTTGTTGCAAAAACACTCTGGTGCTGTCAGGGGAGGCAGAGGGTCCTTTCTCATTGAGTCTGACACACAAAACCTCAAGTTGTGCATAGTGTGTAAGTACTTAAATCTGTCCTGGTAAAATCTCCTCTTTGTAACAGGAAACAGATTACATAGGAGCAAATCATATATTAATGTGAACCTCACTGTGGAAAGATCAACTCTGCCATCCCAAATGGGATTCCTAACATGGACCTCAGAGCCAGCTTCTGTGGGCAGCAATCCTCTTCAGCAGGGATCTAGAGACAGACCAGAGGCACAGTAAAAAAAACCAAACCTATTCTAGTAAGAAAATTTGATTACAACTCTTAGTCTGAACGATATCTGCTTTTAAGCGTGCAGAATTATTCTAGCCTTTATCCTAAGCATTGCCTCAAACATCTGTGATGTTGTATTAAGCATCTGATGGCCATGAGCAGAGGACACTGTTCTTGCACATGACCCTTTAGCTACTGGAGAGCTGACACTGGAGATTTCTGCAGTTTTGTGCTCTTCTGCCACAGGTTCCAAGAAGTCTACCTAGACAAATTATTGTGTAGCTGGATTTTAGGAAGCCAGTACTTGAGAATGCTGCTCATTACACTGCTGTGGTAAAAGCCATCAGGATAGAAATGGTGTTAAAGCCTACGAGACCAAAGCCAGCCCAGCCTGACTGAAAGGACAGCTGATGCTGCAGTACAGTCACCCCTCAGCACCAGAGGTGCGACTACCATGGTGGAACTCAAGACTGAGGTTGCAGAGGAGCTGCAGAACAGCTCTCCTCAAAGTCACTCAGTTTTTGTTCAACACGTAAACTTAGTGTCAGACCATCCACACTGATTGCATGAAGAGGAACAGGAACAAGAGCAAAGTTCATTCATCTTGGTCACCTCATGGCAGTCATGAAGATGCAATTCCAGCACTTGTAACTAGTCTGGCAGATTTATATACAGGCATCAATGATGCTTCCTTTTTCTGTAAAAATATGGGAGAGTTGAATCCACCTCTCCCAGGGGTCATGAGTTACTTCCTGTAGCATTAACAGTGGTAGAAGATGAAGGGCACAGCTGAAGATAAAATGGCTGCCAAAGGCAGAAACAAGATTGTGGTTCTTCACTTCTTTACAGTAGCAACAACCTCCTATGGGAGAGCTGCTGTAGGAGTGCCTGGTTAACATCTGAATTTGTTTCTGGGACAGAGTTCAAATCACTGCAACTTATTTTAGTTTCTTATGTTAGGTAAAGAAACCACTTTTCATAGTTAGAGTAGCTCATTCCCACTCTGGTAACAGAAGAGTTGTTTGAAGTCAATAGTGACTGGCTTTAGCAAGTGCTGCAGCACTTCAGTGACTGACAGAAGCATTTGGAATATATCTGGGACATAGACTGGACCTTGACAACGTTTAAGACTTATCAAAGAAAACAGTGATTCTACTGTGTAATATATTGTAGACACTTTCATTAGAAAGCTAAATGACCAAAGCTAAGTGTAAGCTATGCAAGTTCATCAGGTAGATTCCACCTTTGGGGTACTAATATCCAGTTTTGAAGTTCTTTTGTTTTGGTCCTTGACCAAAAAAATTATGTGCTGAGCATCAAGGCTTAAATAAACTCTGAACATTTCTTTCAAGTTTGCACCAAACAGCATTTAAGCCACCTCAAAATCAGGGTGGTGATACCCAGGTTGCACAGCACGGTTTCTGTTGTTTCCCCTCCCCTGGATGAGATACAATCAGATGTAAACTGAATTCAAAACAAAAGAAACAGAAATAGTTCCATGTGCATTTTCAAGGGAAAGCTATGCAGCAGGCCTTGAATGGTCTCCTCTTTCATCCTGTTCTCACCAGCATCACGCTGTCCTAAGCTCAGTAGGGTATGTACAGCAATGTGCAGAGACCAGGGATTCCAGCACACAGCAGAGCCACAGTGCTGGAGCAGTTTGCAGTGAAGACTGGCAGTGGTATGGGAACCCAAAAAACGCTTAAGCTCGTATTATTCAGTTCCTATGAAAAAGACTGCACAATTCTCATGGTACATCAACAAGATGGGACCGGTATGCCAACTAACCTCTATTTTAATATTTAAATTATAACAATACAATAACTAGAAAAGGTCAGTGCTTCAAGTGACAGGTTTTGCCACTTCAATTCCAATATTTTTTCCAAAATAAAGATGCAATTAGATCTACACTTGAGCATCAGTAGTGCAATACAGTATCCTTTCCTGAATAAAGGAGCTGAGGTTTATCCACAATAAAAGCTTTAAATAAGGTAGATTGTTGCCATTTATATATCAATTCTGTATGTTTGATATAAAATATATTGGGAAAGCTTCAACTGACTTATACAATCTACATTTGGCTAAAGCTCCACATAAGCAGCATCAGTGGAAATGAACATCAGAGGTGTACTTAATATAAAACACTTTCAAAACTACTCAGCAACAAATGACAGAAGTTTGGCTAAGAATAACTGAACATCTGAGGTGTGTACCAGACAAAAAGAATGGACCCTGTGGTTACTTGCACTATTTTAATGAAGTAAAAGAAATGCAAGGTTTAGTCCACTTCCATTTCTCCGAGGGGTTTGGTCTGCTGAGGGTTGTCCTTGGCTGGTTCGGGTTTTGTTTCAGCAGCGCTCTGTCCGTTCACTGGCCCGTTGTGCTCCCCGTTAGCTTTGGCCTGCCCGTCACTAGGAGGTTCTATCTTCGGCTTGGGCTTGGACAGAATGGGATTACAGAAGCTATCCAATTCCTAGTTGTGACACAAGTGAGACAGCAAGGTCATTTGGTGGCACAGCAACTGCACTCAACCACAATGTCTCTAATTTGCTTCTGGTCCCTAATGGCCTGGAATTTCATTGTCAAGGACCAGACTTCTCTATTCTTTAGTCTAGAAACTTCAAAAAAAGCCTCTCACTATCTGAGGAACTTCTGCTTTTCTACAAACCTGTATGTAACAACCCATTCTATAGAAACCTGGTGCTGTAACTCAGGGTATTTTAAAAAGGCTTGTGCAGAGGTACTACTGTAAATCAAGAGCCAGCACTGAAGAGTGCTTTAACTGCTGCCCCCTCTGTATAGATCTTTTAATAGCTTTAAAATGTACGCAGATGTATAATTCTAGCTCAGATCTAGGCTAAAATCTGGTCCAGGAAAAACTGATTAGAATGCAACAAGTACAATTATTTTTTTTACCTTAGATTTTGCTAGTATTTCTGCCACTTTGACAACTGGATCCTGAGTTAGACTGAGCTTGTTCTGGGCATTCATTTTGCTGTTCAACCAATTCATAGCCTCATTAATGTATTTTTCAACTTTCTCCATCTCAGCAGGATCTAGGTGGTCATATTTTTCATCCTAAGGGGAGAGAGAGATATTTGTATCACTAATTAAAATATGCTGCTCACCAATTCAGTTAATCTTTGAAGTTATAGAAACACTTGTAACAGCTGTAAGTTCAGAGATCTATTTCAGGTGGTACCACCCACCATAAAAACACATACATCTCTGATTTATGTTCTCATTCTGCTAGCAATGCTGAACAAGTTTAGAGTTCTCAGGAGCAGAACTACAACAGCCTTTCTAAAGCAGTGTAAGACGTAACTTTACAGGATCTGTTTAAACACAGAAGACTCTATGGCCGAACTCAAAACACCTACAATCACTGAACAGCTAAATCATTTAGCTTTACCTTATTTTTGTATGCTTCTACTGCTTTCATAAGGAGCTGAATCTTCTTTCCCAGATCATTTAGAACTTTTGGCCTCTCTTCATGTTCCATGCATCTTTCCTGGATAGGCTGTCCAAATTTCTGGAATAAAAAGCACAAGCACCTTTACAAAACACGTATTTCCTTTCATCTGCTCTAAGAATACAATGCAGCATGGGTAGGAAGGCTGCCTTTAACTCCTTTTCTCACCCCTTCAAAAAGCCAAGTCTTTGCATATTGCTTTAGTCCAACAGCAAAAAAAAAAGAGCAAAGTTTAAACACAGGAATAGTGACTGTCCTTTTTAGGCTTGGTATTTTGCTGTTTTCTGCAAGAAGAGCATTTGGAACAGGAACTAGTTAGGCTTTAATTTTCAAATAGTTAATCTGAAAACTTCTTATTCTATCCACTGTTTGCTTTTTCCTTCTCTTGAATACTGGTATTTTACACTGCTGTTTCCATCAGTTATTCCTCCCCTTGAGAAAATGTGACTGGAGAGTAAATACCTGGAACCCAAGGGCTACACACATACTTCAACTTACAACAAAGTAGGTAGTTATTCATCAGAACTCACGTTTTCCCCAACAGATCCTTAAAATCTGAAGCATTTAGGGGGTGTCTGTCATTAATAATCAAATTATACAATGGAAGCTACTATTAAAGCACTCCAGAGCCTTTATTGTTGGATATTAGACCCAAAAATCGGTTTTACTATGCATCTGAAGATCACTGAGAACAGGGAAAACAGAATATATATTCTGGAATGTAATTATCATTACCCAGGAGTGCAGTCAAACTACTCAAAAGCCTCTTTCAGACTGTAAGAAGTCTGACAAAAAATTCCCATAGCAATTAAATCTATTGTCATTAGTGACAGTCTGCTTCATTTCAACCGTTTTCAAATTAGGATCACAACTCACATTAAAATGTACTTCTAGTTCTGAATATGAGTGAGTTTTCTAGAAAACAACTTAAAACCTTACCTTTAATTCCTGAAGCTTATCCATGTATACTTGTTTTGGCTGGTCCTCTCCATCCTCATAAAGCCAGTTTTCTGTGTCCTCCAACATCAAGGTCAGCTTGTTTGAGTCCTACAAAGCAAATTATGGACACTCCCAAGTCAGAAGGGATTCATCAAATAAGACTTCTCTCCCTGGCACAAATCCACCCTACTCAAAAAAGGACTTCATCAGCTTAAACTATTCAAAGTGAGAGTGGAGGAAAACAGTAATTAACAGACTTCAAAGCCACAATTTTACAGAGACAAGAGAGGCAGGACAACCCTACTCATGTGATTTGCAGGTGAAGTTTACCAGAGTTATAAAATCAGCCCTGAGGCTATTTAAGACAGTCCATGGACCTCTGAAGAGTGTTCCATATTATCTGTTCACTGCCTTTTTATTCCCACCCACTCATGCCACTCAGAAGCTTGTGGTGAGCTGTCCTACTTTCCTATGCTGACCATAGGGTTTTTACTTTCTGCCTGCATCCCTGCTCCTTCCTTGCCACTGAGGAGCTTCTCAGGCAGTAAAGAACTCTGCAAGTCAAATGCCAGGTGTAAGCATCAACTTGAGCTTTACTGCTGGGAAGTCAAGACATCTCCTATTCCAAAACTAGTCCAAGAGACCCCTGCAGCCTCCACAGAACTCACACTCAAAATTTTTAAAGACAAAAAACTTTTCCCAACAGTTGAAACATAAGCAAGTCTTACTTCTTCAGTGATAAATTTCTCAAAGGCTCCACACAGCTTGTCTCTGAATTCATACACATATTCTTCAACAGCATTCTTCGCATCATTTCGCTCCTTCTCAAGTTTGTCTTGCATCATCATCTTCCCCTAGGGTGGAGAAAGGCATACTGAAAACTGAAAGCATTTTTAATTGTTAAGCTTAGTGACTACCCTTGAAACTACCAGGGAACCTGGCAAAGGCCTGATAACTCACAATTACTGATAAAAATGTTCACCTCTGTGTAAGTCACCACTACAAGCACAACCACAATCGTCTAAGTTCAGTCCAGAGAAATTGAGTAATTTCACCAAAAACCCAAACCACAACAAAACCTGTTGCAATTATGGGCAACTTCCTCAAGAATTCTAAATTAGAATTATTTATTTATCTTATTTACAGAGACATTAATTTGAGTAGTCACCTCTTTATGCTGCTTACCTCATTTTCTATATAGGAATTAATCAGATCTTGTCCCAGCTGCCTACAGAGGCTTGCCTGTATTGGGAGGTCAATACTCTTCACTTTGGTTTTAGACTTTGGCTGGGAGGGATTATCTTGCTTTTCTCCAAAGGTAGCCTACGAAAAGAGTGACACTAGTAAGAAACTTCCAGGAATTGAAGTATTACTACATTTATGCTCAAAAAAAGAGAGACAAATTAAATTAGTTAAGACACCTACAAATTAATCTTATGTAAATTAAACACCTAATTATTCCTCTGTATTCAAAATCACTATTACCTTAGTTTGGAACCAAACACGTGAAGTTAAGTTCTTTAAATAACTGTTAAGTAAGCTTGTTCAAAAGCTTAAAGCACTGCATATTATTCTTCACAATGTTTCCGTATCTCCCTAAATTCCACCTTCATTATAAAACCAGGTTTAACAGCAGAAACCTACCTTAAGGCTGTAATTATGCTATGTTGAAAATTAAAGTGCTATGGTAGGACTCCTTACTTATCCATTTCAATATAAAAACATTCCCATGTTTTCCAACTAGCAAATCAGTTAAGTGTAGGAATACTGGGCAAAAAATATCCTATCAATACTGAATACAAACCTTTGTTTCAGTTCCGGCATTTTCAGTTTCCTCATCTGCTTGGTTCTGTTGTTCAGCTTGACTTTTCTGCACACCTTCCTCTTGATCAACCTGCATTTTATCCTGCAAAGAGTTACATAACTGAATGCAAAGGTTTGCTGGAAGATTTAGGACTGATATCAATTACAGCGAACCACAGACAACACATGAGCTTCACCATAGATCTTAAAAATTTATGCTTCACCATGTTTAATAGGTGTTTTGATTTTGTATTTCTATTTGTATCTTTCAAATTAAATGAAAATTCTACTCTGCTGCTTCATGTTGCTGTCTGTCCCCATTACATAATTACACTAAGCCTTGTGAATACTCCCTTTAAATTAGAAACAAATACATATAAAATGAAATCAAAGAACATTCTAGCAACACACCACCAACACAGGAAACAACAATGGATTCTCTATGGAACAGCCAGAACTCTGACCTCCTATCATTTTGACCTGAACTTTAAAGTCTGCAACCCAAAACAGAAGTCATTTAATCACTGTAATTATAATACTGCAATTATTACCTGTATCTGTCTCACAAGACTGTGAAATCAATAAAAATTAGTTTCTGTAGTGGTAGCCTCTTGGGAGTACATGAGCAACTATCTTCCCTCCTTGCCACCCAAAATAAAGAGAGGCTCACTTAAATTTTTCAGTAAGTTTGTTTATCTCTTATGCCTTGTTCTAAATTTAACAATCTGATTGTTAAATTACTAGTGCAGATCACTTGGTTTAAGTAATACAACTCCATGTCATCACTCAAAAACACTTTTAATGACATAGTAATGGGTAACCCTGAAGTTTTCAGGATGATTCTAATACTCAGAGATCTGGAGCATTAATGACCATCAAGCTGTAGCTAAGGTCTGAAAGGTCCAAGATTGCCTCCATTACAAGGAATTTGTATTTCTGGATTCACAAATGACATATGCATGTAGAATAATTTACTACTAGTTCTGCAAAATAATAAGAACAATTGTCTAAGGATTTCAAACTCTAGCACACGTTGCAGTTTAAAGTGGAAAACAAGAAGACTACTTCGACCAAATTTAAAGTTTTGTCACATGATAGTAGAAAAAGTAATATCTAAATCCTCACTTGCTGTTCTTACTGTTCACACAGAAAAGCCAACAACTGGAAGGAACTGCTTTGCCTACAGGAAAGAGCCAGAGAGGGGATAACAGGACACACAGACAAGACAAACCTCCTCCTCAGAGTCGAGGGGATCATCCTCAATACTGAAAGGTAATTGCTGACAAGCACCATCGTAAAACAGAAGATGTGTTAGATGAATGAGTGAAGTGCCACAAATGGAAAGCCTGAGCATGGAAGCAGCTACTCTCAAACTGAATTCAGCAGACTCCCAGTAAGCTCCACATGCCTCTTACACTAAATGCCAGCTCCAGCACTTCCAACCTTTGCTCACTTGATTACCAGCATTGCATATGGAGCACTTGCCCACAGGGAACTGCACCATGCTCAGCATTTCAAATATGCCCACATTCCTGGAAAGCAGCGTAGTTTTTAAGAAGTTGCTTATACCAATTATGTTATGCTAGTTGTGTAACCATTTGCTCTAATTCCTGTAGAATTAGCTAAGGCCAAATCCTAGGAGAAAGGCTGCCGGGGTCACTGCTGGTGTTGCTGTTTCCAGCTCCAAAGCTTTCCCTGGCACCCAGTCCTCAACTCTGCACTGCAAGGGGGCACAGCTGCACCTCACTGGGAGCTACTTTCAGGAGGCAGTGCAGTTTTCCATGTATAAATACCATATATTTTTTACTCTTTGAAAACATACTTTGTGAGGAAATAAATACCTTTAGATTTAATTTGTCAACAGATCTCATAAAATACTCTACCTTTTGCTAGTGACACTAGGTAATGCTAAGACTAATAGAGAGATGACAAAAACAATGAAGAAACTATTTTTTTAGAATCCATTTTCCCATTCTTTGTTCTTAGTGCCACACTTAAGCAATAGACAAGAAGAAAGATGTTACATAACCAGAGAAGTAATTTAAGGGTGGAGAAGGTTAACTGTCAGAAGCCAAACACGGCCATTTACCCTGCAATTATCAGCTCTGTTGCCACAATGACAGTGAAGGCGTTTACAAGCTTTACATACCAGCTCCTCATCTCTGCCTTGGTTCTTACTTGCTGACTCGGTGTCCATGGGGGTGTCGTTGTGATCCCCCTCAAGGCTCTGCTTCTCTATGATGGACGCGCTGGCCACGCTGAACAGCCCGTGGATGTTGACGCGCACTTTCACCTTCACCTTGGAGTTGTCACCGTCGTGCTGGGGACCAACGTTCTGAATAGTGAAACGCCCTTGGAAACAACAGATGTGGCTTTAATTGTTGCCCCAAAATGCAGAGAAAGAAGGGGGGAAAAAACCCCAAACACATTCCATTAAGGGTGTTAATTTAAATGGAAACTTCATGTTGTAACTGAAACAATTTGGAAACTTTCTACTTAGCTGACAATTCTACAGTGTAAATTGCAGGGAGATAAACTAAAAGCTGGTTCCCCAATTATTATTAGCTCACTGATAATTAATTAAGATGTTTTTCCCTAATCTGTATTTCATAAAAAAAAAGACAGTACTTTACTAGGTGTTCTACTTCTCTGTTGCCTTCTGTAACCACCACACTAGAAAAACTACTCTGATTCATCTCAAATGGTTTCTTTTGTCCACGTAACTCAAACTTCACACTGAAAAATAAAACGTTAACAGAGATAAAATATTCTGCTTAAATTTGATAACATGGCTGCACTACACTTTCTGGAAAACGAACAGTGCTTAGCAATGTTTTTGAAAGCAGTGAGGTTGATACTTTATTTTGCAACTTGCTGAAAATTTAAGTGTAGATTATGTCCATACAAAGGAGAATGTTTCTTCCTCAGAAACACAGACTTCTTGCATAGACAGCCAAACAGATTGCAGCAACTTTGTACCTGATTCATAAATGAGTGAATAAAATGAATTAAATACCATGAGGAGTGTACTAATAACTGCAAATAAGGTAGCATTAGCAAACAGGAAATTATATATGTCATCTAATTCGTTAGACTCTACTACAGATGCTTAAACTCAGGAAACACCTATATTTTATATTCTCAGATTAATAGAATGAGACATGACAGATAGCATGAGACAAGTTATCTGTCCAGACAGGCAGCAGGTCCTTTGATCCAATTTCTTTGAAAAATCCAGGCTGGCAGGCACATAAGATCCTAATCAATTTTACAGAGACTAAAAGAACCAGACAATAGCTCACTAAACTCTTTGTTCCTACTTCTTTTGAAGCACTCAGAAACTGTAAAGATAGAAGGAAGAACGCATAATTTTTTTTAGGCATGTCAAACAGAGATGTCAATATGGTTTGCTCACCATACTTAAATCAAGAAGCCTGTGCTGAGCCTAAGCTTTTCTGTAAGCTAGAAAATATGGAAGTAACATATCTTACAAGAAAAGGGAATCACTTTCTCCTGTATCAACAGGAGTTAGGGATGGGGGTTTTATTCCCATGTCCTTACCTATTCTGGAATCAGGATAAGGCACTTCATGTGGATGGGTATAATAAGCTTCCAAGTCAAAAGGCTCTTTCTTGTGGAAGGTAATTACTTTTGAGAATGGAGCAGCGTGGTTCTTACTGAAGACTTCGCACTCCCTAAAGCAATAAACATTAGACAACATTAAACCTCTGAGCATAACTTCACGGATAATCAAAGTCAAGGTATGTTAACAATCAGCAGCCCTGCTAAGCAAGCAACTGAGTGATTTAGTTTAGGTCAGTTTTTAGCAAGAGTTGGAGTTGCTAAAAAAGAAAATTAAAATTTCAACATTTCTCTTTATATCCAAACATACTGTAGACACTGTTTTGTAGGCACTCTACAACTTACCCTGTTCCTTCTTCGTAAGATGATTTCCATCTCAATGTTATAGAGTAAGGAACAACATCTGTGATGGAAAACTCACGTACTTTAAAAGCTGGAGAAAGAATTGCACACTAGAGAAAAGAGACCAAAAATGTATTATATCCATGTAGTCAAATAAATAGCAAGTACAAGAATAATCATATAGGTCATATGGAGGTCCTGCTTATCAGACATTTTTTTAAACAGAAACTTCCTAGAGCTAATTGAACTGAAAGACTTAACTAAAGTAATAGATGTTATTTCCTCAGTGATTTTCAGTAAAGATACCCAGCAAAGGTTCCAACTGACTACACAGAAGTGGAACAGCAGAATTTAACAGGTCTTTTTAATAAGCCCATCCTTCTCACATGACACCGCAGCAAATTAATGAATGTAACAAAATCATTTCTGACATGGTCACTGCCATGAATTAGTGCAAGTAAGAACAAGTAAGACTCTGCATCTTGTTTCAGCTGCAGTACCTTTTGCTTGTGGTTAGCTGAATTTCATTAGTACACTATGTTAAAAGAAGCAATACTAAAGTTTTATTTCAGGAACTATACCTGCAAGGCACAGCCTCTTGCAACAGCTTCATCAGCATTTAGCGTGGTGCTTATCTCTTTACAGAAAAAGTTAGAGATCTGTTCCTTCACTGATGGAATTCTAGTAGCCCCACCTACTATTTCTATACTGTAGATATCTTCACGCTGAAGTTCTAGAAAAGAGAGTGCATGCCCTTAAAGTTATCATCAAGGTATCAGAAAGCTATCTTTGGACAAAAAAAGAAGAAAAAAAAAAATAAAAGTTCTATTATCTAGACACTGTGACAAGCACTGAATGTATTAATGGCTGACAAGATATTTAAAACTCTTTGTCCCTCCTGTAGGCTACAAAATTTTCTAGTTGCATGAACCTGGGAAATGCAGAAGCCAAGCATCTATGAGAACAGCTGTTCTTTAAAGTGTGTTGTCCTTGTGCATCCCCCTTTTGCTGTGCATGAACTCAGAAAGGTGAAATTGGGTCCTCTGCACTACTGGACAATGTCTCACCTCTCCCAAACAAAACGAAATCCAAATAGATCTCATTTCATGTCTGGCTTGATTTTGCTTGCCAAAAGAGAAAAGAAAACCTTTCAAGCCAATAGATCTAAAAAATAAAAAATAGCACATTGTGCTTGAAGGTTAACTTTTTAATTCTGGAATCAGGATATGTGTATGAAGTCATCTCAAACAATTGTCAGTCCTCGAACAGCTCTGCTCAGCAGTTACTCAGTTTTTTAATTCCTGTATTTCCTATTGAGCCAAGCCACAAGATCAGCAGAATTCTTCCCTTTTAGTTGAAGGTGCTGAAATTAAGGGGTAAAACCTTTCCTGTTGAAGTCTAATTCTCTCCTTTACACTACATTAGGCAAGAAACAAAAAAATTACTTTGTTATTGGCACATGCTTTAGGTAATTCAATTTAAGAATATACTGCCAAATTACCAGGTCAGTGAGGACATGTAAGTACTACATGGAACAGGCTGGCCAGAATGTTGCAGTTATGAACAGTATCTTTTACCATCATCATTTTAGTTTGGTTGTTTGGTGTTTTTTAAGAAATTCAGATTGCCAACCTTTTCCATGACACAGGGTGAATAAGGGTCAATAACCAAAGTTGCAGAGTAGCATGTGCACTAAATGAGGCGGGAATGGGATCATGCATTCATGGCAAGCATATGAATGGAACTTACATTTAACTTTTCAGTATTTAGCTTTGCAATTCTAATAAATACAAAAATACATTGAAAAGATAATCATTAAAGAGATCAGGAATGACTGGATTACTAGCAGAACCTCAAGTTGCTTCTACTTACTGGCTTGATCCATGGCTGCTCTTAGAGGAGGCTCCACTCTGGCCAGAAGGGCAGCACACAGCTGCTCGAACTGAGCTCTGCAGGGCAGGGAGAGTGCATGGTGTTACCAGGCTGCTCAGAGACCACAACCCCCTGCCCCTCAGTGGGAACAACACCCAGTACCTGTTCATCTTACTGGAGACATCCAGGTCATTCATGAAGCACTCGATATTGAGGGGAAGGTCAGATGCATTCGCACTCATCAGCTTCTTGAGCTTCTCACATTCCTGATACAATCGCAGCAGTGCTCGGGGATTCTCTTTTACATTCAGTTTGTATTTTGTCCTAAATTCTTCAGAGAAGTAATCTACCAAAGCCTCATCAAAATTCCTGCCACCTACGAAAGGGTCAAAGGTAGTGGCCAAGACCTGGCAGGAGTCAAAGAACAAGACCAGAAATTATGAGACAAGGTTTGTGCTGTGTCATTTACTCAACAAAGCAGCAAGTGTCATCATCGCCTTCCACATGGCTTCAGATGGCATTTGGCTACCAGAAACAGGCCCACAAAAGCCTTCAGCCTTTAGTAGGTCACAGACAAAAAAGTCTCCAAACCAGGATGCAACGAATGTTCAGCTTTGTTTCACATCCCACTGGATTTAGACTTTGAACTCCCATGGATGGCACCAAAAAAAACCCCAACATTTCAGAGCGTCTCAAGATAGCTCAAGAATCTCCCATGAGTGAGTCAGTTGCACAACTACAATATTTAAGAGGCTTTCTGAATATGCAAATATTTCAGGGATATGACACAAAAACTCTGCAATGTCCTTAATTATCAAGCATGTTCCAAAACACACTTTAGGATGCTGCATTTCTACATTTTACAAAAAGTGATTTGATGTAACAAAACCAGCCAAAATGTAACAGAAAGGTTTCATATTCCACGTTTAAAAAATATTTTTTATGGATGTCTACTTCTTAAAAAGCTAATCTTTCCTCAGAGTAGTATTTTGAGTTTTAAATACTTCAGGCTTTTAATGTATGACTTAAACGATTACCTTCAGTTTTCCCTTGTTAAAAGCACAGATGGAAACTTGATATGCAGAATGCCCCATATCTACAAAGACCACATTTCTTGGCTTCTCTTCCAAGGCTGGCAGATCTTGCTTGTATATTCCATAGGCTAATGCAACTGGAAAACACCAACCCGTGGAAGGTTAAGGGGATGGCACACACAGCTGCAGACCATGCATTGAAATCACCACCAAGAGACAGACACTGCCCATGTTCACCCTTTCTAAAGACCTTCATAACTGTTATTAAAAGTCAAAATCATGTCGAAAGCACATTTTTCACTAACAAGAAAGATGTCAAGTGAAGGTTTAGCACTAATAGAGACTCTCCCTATATTTTAATTCTACTTGGTGCCAAATTAACACTGCAATTCGTGAAACTGCACAGACTAAGAATCATGCCTACACCTCTCCCTTGAAATGCCTTAGCTTTGAAAAATTCAAGCATGCCCAAGAGATAAAGGAAATGTTCTGGAAGACTAGTTTACACAAATCTATGCTTTCACAACCAGCACTCATTTGGAAAGCTTTTTTGGACTTTTTAAAAGCAAAGAGAATCGAGAAAAATAAAATTTACTGATTTAAGCAGCTCCAACTTTAGTCCCCATGAAGTGTTACGTCTTTTCTATGCTCTACCTTAGAATTCACCAAAGCCAGAAGAGAGGAGTAAATTACTTTATAGAAATAGTTGTGCCATTGCTACAGCTGACAGGACTGCCACAACTTTACAGATCCCAGGTTTATTTCCAGGTTTATTTCCAAAGGCACTCCCAAGTGTGACTGTGCTCAGGTTAGCAAACCCCAGCACTCGTGCTGCCTCTCAAGCGCTGCACACCACCCCACTGCTGTGTTTCCAGTTCCCAAACTGGAATGGGCAGTACTAGCCTGGACAGCTCTCTGCCAAGCTCCCAGTTGTGTAAGAGCAGGGTGTCATCACCCTCACATTCAACAGCCTGAATGCCTCAAAGGACAAAAAAAAGTCCCAGCCCTTTACCTGCTGTAGTTTCATTCATCAGCTTCAGACAATTTAATCCTGCAATCTGTGCAGCTGCCATTACAGACCTCCTTTCAGCATCAGTGAAGAAACTGGGGACCTGTTTCCAACAATAATGACATTGGATATTATAGGATACAAATTTTTTAATTTAGAGTAGTCAGACTTGCCCATCAAGCTATCCTATAAATTACTACAAGAAACTGTTATAAGCTAACCTCAAACTAATAGGGCTGTCTGAATAAAACAGCTAGCTAATTCATTTTAGTGTATATTTTAATTAAAAATTCAAAACATGACAAAAATGAAGTTGCATCCAGGGTTGTTTTAAATAAAGCAGATTTTAACACACACACAAAAAAAAAAATCCTGAAAATGCTTTCTCAGATTGTTTGAATGAGTCTTTCATCTTAAAATCATCACCAGCTCCTGGAAATATTCGTGCAGGACAAAGTAAACCCAACAAATACTCACACACAGCCCCAAATAAGTCAATGGCAGAAGCACTGCAGCGATTCTGGAATCCAACTTGAACCTGCATCCCTTTTTCCAGCTATCACTGCCACCACAGTGCCAGCTTACAGTGTGCTGCAAGGTTCAGTGCCACCAAAAATAGCCACAGCAGCATCGGAGCCCATTGAGGATCTGGCTGCAATCTGCTGGCACCTCTTCAGCAGACACAGAGCTCCATTTTGTTGTGTGTTTTGTTGGCTACCACTGTGGGGCATTGCCAAGGATCCCTGGGTGTGTGGGAGGTATTCTCCCAGCGTAAGGAAGCAAGGAAAAATATCAAAGCAGATTTCTAACAGCTCATGTACACAGCTTTCCAGTTCCCATGGCTCTGCCTGACAGAGAAGGGATAACTGCAATCCTTCATGCCCAAACCTCCCACCAGGGCCAGTAAACAAAGGCCATGTGAAAAGCAGACACAGGACATCGTATCCAACGAAATAAAATGACTTTTTCAAATAAAGCCAAGTGGTTTGGGTGTGTCAAATTATCAGCATAACCCACAGATCCCTAAGTTCAGGTGACTCTCAACTGCACTGCAACAGGGTTCACCCACACAACAGGAAAGAAACTGAACAAGAATTTAAGAAGGTTCTTTGGAAGCAAGTGGGATATGCTTACATCTAGGACAGCTCCCATTTGTAACAAGAACTACAGTAATCAGAAATACTGTCTGTAGCCCTTGGAGACAGACAGACTGCATCAGCTTAAGCACTGTGTCCTTTCTGAAAATACACTCTTGATTTAACAACCTTTTAATCTCCTCACACATGCTTCAAGAACTATTCTCATTTGGAAAACTTGCCAAAAAGGCCCATTTTTGGGAACATGACTTCTATCCACTACGTGTACCTCTTACTGCACCATGGTATAAATGGACTTAGCTTGCATAAAACTGCCTGTGGATTGCAATAAATACATGACAACTTACTGAAATCACACAGTCAGCCACTGGTTTCTTCAAAGCACTTTCCGAAGTCTCCTTCAGCTTGGCCAGCAGCATTCCTGTGATCTGTTCCACTGCAAACAGTCTCTCTTCATCCAGGTACCTCACCTGGAACAGAGAGTTGGGATTCTGGGATCAACCATCTCAACTTTGCTCTCAAGATAAGCAGCTTGGGCATTATTTTTGATGTTGAGTATTGAGACCCCCTGAACACCAAGACACAAGTCTAGGCACCCTGTCTCTTGATCTGTGCTCCCCACAACAAATTTTCAACAGTTTCGTTTGGGGTTGTTTTTTTTTTTTTTTTTTTTTTTTTTTTTTTTTTTTTTTTTTTTTTTTTTTTTTTTTTTTTTTTTTTTTTTTTTTTTTTTTTTATTTTATTTTTTTTTTTGTGGGAAGCTTAACACCTCAGTTATCTCAAGGGACTATTCACAATGATATGGTATTTCTCCTGCTCGTGCATTTTAAATTTAAAAAAATAGCAAAAAAAAGAGCATAATATATATAGGATCACATTGTGCTGTAACACAGGCTAAAAATACAAGTTTTGGAGCAAGCCCAAGGAACATTTGCTTCCTGCAACAGTCACTCAAGCACAGGAGGCAGGGAAGGTGTAAACCAGGCAATTCCAAAGACCTGCTCTGCTCAGGAAATGTGGTTGAATCCTCAGCCTCCATGGGAGGTTCTGTGGCCTGAATTCCTAACAAGCTATCATCTCTCCAGCAATCCCAAGCACTCCTGCCATTTAGTTTGGAATCAAATTAAAGATAACTTGCTCAGATTTCATATTCAGAGCATTATGTTGTTTTCCTGGCACTTGGCTTCTGCATGTCTGATGGGAACTAATAATCTCACACTGTAATTATACAGATTTGAAGATAAATCTAGTAAGGCCAAATGAAAAGCTGATGTGACTATGGAAAACTAGTATGATAGATGAGAAACATCAATGGACATTTTGGAGAAAGTACAGACTTATTCAGAGACACAGGAATGTATTTTGTTTTCTAAAGGAAAATATAAGTGACCACGGAGGAAGTTAAGTGACAAGAGCCCACCAGAGAGATTCCACCCAAAGCTCTCACTCACCTTTACTCCTACGGAGCCATTTGGCATCTTCTGAAGTTCATAGGGAAGTTTGGCCCTCTCAGCCTGGATGTAAGGATCTTCAAACGCTCTTCCATGCAGTTTCTTGAAGCCATGTACTGCATTTTTTACGTTTGTGACGATCTGTGGCAAAGATATTTTCGTTACTCATGACATTCTGACACAGAGGACCGGGCAGAAAGGAATTTTTCACGTTGTGCTTAATGCACACACTGACCTGTGTCAAGTCCCACACATTTACTGAAAAGCAAAGTGTGAGAAGAGTGAAATAATCTACTTTTTAATCTATGGGCCCTAATAGAAAAATTCACACGTACTTCTCTCTTAATATCTATTTAACTTGCTGCCACAAATTTTCACTGTACTTTTTATTTTAGAAGAGCTTTCTGATACAGCATGAAGTATTTAAGATCCTATATAGTTGCAGTGGCTGCCTGCAGGAACTAATGAAGTTATTACCTACATTAACCTTAAATGAACCTTCAACAAATTAACACATTTCCCTTCCTTTAAAGCTCTCCTCTAATTCAGATCCCATCTGGATGTAAAGCCTCCCCACACCTATTCTCTCATCAGTGTTTCAACCTAGTTATTTTCAGGACAGACTTTTAACCAAAGAAAGAACCAAAACAAACAAACCCCAGCAAGCACACTATTTAAGCTATCAAAGGAAACTACTGCAGGACAACTTGAATTTGTTTATCAGTGAAAAAAGGTTTTGATCCATTTACCTGGCTCTTTGCTGCATTCCCAATGGCTCGGGTCTTGGATCCTAAAGATATACATGCTCTAAGTAAAAAAAAAAAAAAAAAAAAAAAAAAAAAAAAAAAAAAAAAAAAAAAAAAAAAAAAAAAAAAAAAAAAAATCAGCTTTAAAAAAAAACATCATATGTGTTCTGAAGTATCATTCTGTAGAACACCCACAAAAATTCAAGCAGCAGAACATGGATGTGTTAAATAACAGCATTACTGCACGAAGCACCAGAACCAGAAGTGGAATTCTAGTTATTTTGTTCTTTGTAAATGAATTTAGAAACAGCAAGCAACTGCAACTGTTGCCATTTTAATTGCATTTAAGGAATTCTCTAAAAGCTGAAACGTTCCACAGATCTCATCAGGAAGGGAAGGCACTGATAGTTACTTCTGGGTCATGGGTTAAAACAAAACCTAAGAAGCCTGTGAGATTCATTCAAACCCCTGAACTTTACCTGCCGGGTTCTATTGACTCAACAACCCTTGAGTCTCAGGGCCACATTCACACTCCAAGAGCCCTTAGCAGCAATCCTGAAACAACCATTAAAGCACCCACAAACCAGAGCTGAACGAGCTCTGAAGTGCTTCCACAGCCAGGACTGGCAGGTCCAGGCACAGAGGGAGAGACTTGGGGACAGCTCCCAGGCAGGCAGGGCTCTCGGGAAGCCCTTCTGTAATCCACAGCCCCCTGCAGCTTCTTGGCTACCAACAGCACCCCCCTGCATCAGCAAAGGCTGCCCAGGGCTCCAGCCACCATCTGGCCTCTGAGCAATGCCTCTGGAAATGTTCGTTTCTGTTCTGGAAGTTACTCACATTGCACCTTTGCATCACAGACCCGAAATACAACTCTGCCCCAAAAGGCAACCACGACCATTCGGGAGTGATGGAGAAGCCCAGACTGCACACAGCCCAAATGTAATTGTTTAATGCACTCGAGCAGACTGATTCCTGCTTCCTCTCCATCACTGAGGGCACTGCAATTTGGCAGTATTTTCTAGCAACCTCTTCTCTGTGACATCCAAAAACCTTCTCCAGATTTAACTGCTCCAAACACACGAGGCATTTCCCTGTATTTTCAAATAGGCAGTGCAGCTTTCACGAACAACTTTTTACGATTTTTAAAGTTGTCAAGACGCTACAGTTCCCCAATTACGCCTTGTGATAATTAGGGGTAGTCAGATAAACGAGCAATTTCCACGGCAAGCAAATGATTTACAAACGAATGCTATTGCATCACACCTTTTCAGTGCGGGAATCTGCCTCTGCTCACAGCACAGCCTGCACATTACCCCATGCAGAACCAGCTCAGAGCCAGCACAGCTCCTGCCATGGGTTGTTTCAATTACTTCCAGCACAGGGGGATGGATGGCTTTTCTCTCCTGCTGTTGGGAAGCTGAGATGCCAAAAAAATAAATGTGCCCTCCTCGGCTTCAAAAAATTCAGTCGTTTCCAAGATTCCTTATTACATCATCTTAATTACAGCATGTGATCACATTAATCACACCTGGTGTGAAATAAGTCATGAGCTATCAGCAACTGTCTTGTTTTCCCGAAAAACCACAGTGGTGAGGCAGAGCACCTGAAAGGGCCACTTGCCATGAGTGTAACGAGCCAGAGGCACTGGAAATGTGTTCAACAGCCCTGCTGAAGTTCCCAGCTCAGGAAAAGTCAAGGGTCAATTTTCAAAGAGATGCAGGGCCAAAAGCCAGGAAATATCCAATTTCTACTGAAATGCATGGCTTAACTGGCAAGATCTTTTTCCCTTCTTTGTAAAGTGCTTGTGCTAAAGCTTGCAGGATGAAACATGGTTGTACTAACACTGACAATCCCAAGCACCGGATTATAGAATGTAATTAACTAATAGCTTACTCAAGTACCTGCATGATGTGGGCACCTCCATAGGAACATTCACATATGTTAATTTACTGTGTTGCTACGTGCAATAAGGAAAGTTCTGATGATTGAAGACTTAGATCTGTCTGTATCACTCAAATCCCACTTGAAGTAAAGATTTAGCTACTATGAAAGACTTACATAACAGTAATGAACCTGTTACTTTTCTATTTACCTCTATTTGATTTCTCTCAAGGCAGTGACACTAGAAAAGACGTTCCTCAACGTCTCCTGTATTGCCACATTTTGAGACAGAAAAGGTCAATGAAAATGTCACTTAAAGTGTGACCGTATGTGCACTCCAGATGCTGTAATTGCTAACGCGAACCTCTTTCATAATCACTTTACAAGTATCTTGAAAGTACAGTTAATCAGACATTAGTGTAAAAAATAGCAAATGCAGGTAAGCCTACCTGCAAACAACACACTCCAAAAATTACTAAAAATTGGAAACGCTCTTCATCACAAGGGGGAAAGAAACTGCAGCTGCTTGAGGATTCTGTGGGCAACAATTTCATGGGATACTTTGCATTTGAAAGGCCCGAGAATTTCAGTTCTCGCTGCATATCTAGTGCACAAAAGAGAATTACTTCCCGAGTTAATACGAGAAGAATATTCTTCTAAGAATAAAATGAATTTTTAAGCGTATTCCCATTAAATCAGACGACATGCTCTTCAGCAATCACCTTCTTTGCACTTTTTAGAAAGCAAACCTACATTTCTCCGAGACAAGGGCAGCAGTGCTGAAGTTACTACAGTCTCGCACAGCAGAAACATCTTTCTCAGTTGGCTACAAGCCCCTTTGTAAAAAGAGAAGCAACAACCAACCCCCGATTTTTACGAGTATTACACGAATTCCCGAATCCTCCTTCAAAATTATGCACAGATGGAGCTCTAAGAATCCTAGACGTATCCCATAGAAACAGGAGCAATATCTCCACCTACTCTTGCGTCTCCCATCATCACGGACGTTGCCCAGTGCCCCCCCCTCCCTCGCCAGACCTCGGTATTCCAGGGCCAGCAGATGCGCTGCAAGCAGGAACAGGTTTAGAGCAAGGGAGCTCATCGCGCCGCTTCCCTGCTCAGTCAACCTCCTCCTCCTCCGTCTCGCCACCCCTCGCGCGATTGCTGCTGGAAGCGCTCCGGAGGAAAGCGCAGCCCCGCGGGGAGAGCAGCGCGCCGGGCCCGCGGAACCGCGCGGCTGCTGGGCGGCGCGGCGCGGCGCTTCAAGGGCACGGCGGGAGCACAGCGGCGCGCCGAGCGCCGCCCGGCACACGCGGTCCCGGGAAGGGGCGCTCCGCCGCCTCCCGGCTCGGCCGGCCGGCGCATCCCGCGGGGAACGCGCGGGGAGCCCCGCGGGGCGGGCGGGCCGGGCGCGCCGCTACTCACGGCGTGCAGCGGTCGCTGTACTCGTTGGCGATGGTCTCGATGCCGCCGCTCCGCGCCACGCCGATGTAGCAGTTGAGGAAGCCGAGGTCGATGCCCACCACGGACATGGCTGCGCCCGGGGCTGGCACTGGGCTGGCACCGGGACTGGCCGCGGCTCCGCGCCCGCCGCTCCCCCACTGCGGAGCGCCGGCACCAACCGGCAGCGGGCGCGCCGTGCGCAGGCGCCGCCGGCGGGGAGCCCGCCCGGCCCGGCGCCGCCTCGGCTCTTTCCGGCAGCGCTCGGGCGGCGCTGCCCTTCCAGAAGGATCTGGAACGGGAGCGGCGCCGCCCAGAGCGGCAGCGCTGCGCAGGGACCGCCCCGCCGCCTTAAAGCGGCCGCGCGGCGCCGCCGCCCGCGGCTCCCGGTGCGGGAGGACCGCGATCCGAGCCGCTAGTGCAGAGCGGGCACCGGCGCGGCCGTGCTTGCAGTGAGCCCCGCGGAGCTGCTGCGAGGACAGAGCCCCTGCCTGAGGAGGGCAGCCTGCAGCGGCTGGCACCGGGAGAGCCCCGCGGTGGAAGCCCGGTTATGCCCAGGCCGGCAGGCACAGAGCCGGGCACGGCTCTCGGTGCCGCTGCCGGCTCCTGCCTTCTGCCCATTGCCAACACCGATGGAAGAGCCGTCCCAGCCGCGCTTGGGCCCTGTGCATTTCCAGAAACAGCCTTGTCTGTTTTCTTTCCCTGGGGGGAAAAAGTCAGCCCGAGCCCCAAGTATCTCTGCTTACCCCGTGTTTTATGGGTATCTGGTAATTGTGGATTGAAACTCCACGAAACAAACCTGCAGGCTGGAAAAGTTTCCCAAGTAGTTACTTGCTTCTAAAAATGACACTGTTTCACACAGCAATGTGACGTCTTTGTGACCCAGCATGTGACACTGCACAGTTTTGTTCCACTGGAGAGATTAAAAATAAGCACAAAACGACTAAACTAGTTTAACATCCCTGCCAAGAGGCTGGATTATCTCTCCCATTTGTCACAGTCTCAATAGTCTACTAAACAACCAGAATATTAATAATTAAAACATACTCTTTTCCTCTAAAACCTCCAGAGGCAAGGGAAACCACTGGTACACAGAAATATTTGTAACACAGCTACTCTACTTGCCTTAATTACCCCATCTTTACTTGCTAGGATGAGGATCAGAAAGGCAAATCAGGTCCCGTCCCATCTACAGTAGCCAGGGAGGCAGATCCCCCAACTCCAATTCCTTCTTTGTTCTTTCCACCCGTTAGGAAAACAGTGGTTCAAGGTATTGGCAGCACCACTTGAGGCTGCCTCCCCACTGAATAGAAACCTGGGGGACAAAGAGATTAAATAAATGCAAATGCTCCTGTGTGGTTGTGCAAGCCAAGCCAGCTGGTTCGAAGCTGCTCTCGGGAGCAGACTTGTGCAAACATTCCTGACGGCCACCAGAAAGTGCCAGTGGACTTTTTATTTGCTTTGTCTAGAGCTGGAGATTGAGAGTACAAGCAGGGTAAGCCAGACTCTTGGAGGCATTTCCTAAAAGTCGTCTGTGTGCTTCAGTGTCACACTGATGCCCAGCCTGGGAGTATGAACAAAGCTCACTCCAGCCAGGTAAGCCACAGACATACCTGAGCACAGCCCCCTTCTCATCATGGACTGCCCCTGTAGCAATTTTGGGACTGAGGTTGCCCCAGTCTTTCCAGTTCTTGGCCCATGGATTACATTTGGTATGTCAGCAGCTCAAAAAAAAAAAAAAAAAAATTGTACATATTCCATGAGCCAAGGGTTTCACGTCAAACTTAATGGCTGGGGTGAAATCTTAGGAACGCTGCTGGGCTTCATTTCTTTGAAGCCAGACATTTAAATGCCTCCCAAACACTTCTTTTGGATCCTAAATTACCAGTACTCCACAAGGTTTGGTCTTTCCCTCTTGAAAATTACTACCTCAGAAATAAGAGTTTTCTCATTTATGTACATGCTAAGATTTTTCCTCAGTACTGAGAAGGATCCTGAGCCATTTAAAATTTTCTCAAGAAATATTGTACTAAGTGTTCTAGGTCTCTATATGCTTGGCTCTTTATATTTTTGGGCTGTGTTTTAGGCTTAAAATGCTGCCAGCCAGCTAAAAGCCTTTTCAATGTTGTTTTAGTATCAACAAAATGGAAACATTGAGAATTTCAAACAAGAGGCAAGTAAGTATTTTCTTGGATTCCATGGTCTTTCTGTAGTAAAGAACACTAAGCAAATTTTCTCCTAACGAATCACTCCAAAGGAGGATCCTTTGACCATTAAATATTTATCTGGTGTCACACTCTGTTAGCTGGTACCAATGGCTAAATTTAGAAAAGCTGTGATCCTTCTTCTGATGCTTTTTTTAAGCTCTACTGGGCAAGTAGAAGGCTTAGGAATTAAATGAGGTCACTCCAGTCCTAAGGGTGCTCTGAATTCTTTCAATGCTGTTAAAACTTGCACAGCTCATTTTTTTCCTTCTTTAGTATGAATGAAATAGTTTTATACCAAGTACATTGCAGTTCATTAGTGATCAATAGAGTCCTCTAAAACATATTAAGGGCTGTATTAAGAACCATCACTGTTTTGTTTTTTTTTTTTCTTCACTAGCTAAAAACATGCACACTTTTTTTTTTTTGGGAGAGACAAATCCAAATCCCTCTCATTATGTCAAATTATATTGGGGAGAAGATACTTTTTTTTTTAACTGAAGATTTAACCCAGCTACATCTGAAATCAAATCCACTTGCAATGCCAAGTAAGGTTCTAGGTCCTCCATAATGGCAGAAAGATAATTTTGTCCAATTCAGGCCACTGATACACACGTATGAAATATATGCTTACATGATCAATACAAATAAGTGTCCCAACATAGCTAAAAAGCATTTAGCATATCTTGTTTTGGATCAACATTAATATATGCAAATGAGAGGCTATTTGATAATAGTTGTTGCTGCTCAGCTGACAGAAACCAGTTTTGCTGAAAGCAGCTACTGTAGTAGGTTTGTTGATTCAGAAAGTTATCCCTTCTGGAAAACACAGTCTCAGCTGGAGAAATAACAGGTGATATATTTAATTAAAGGTCTCCACTGGGATCAAAATAAGCAGCATGATGAGAAGTTGTTAAAATCATACTAATCAGCTTCATTTGCATCTTCAGAACAACATGAATGAAATAAGGATCACTCACAAAATACACATACACAACAATACAAATCCTCTCATTCTCACATTTTGTGCTAGTAAACCCATTACCTTACTCTAAATTGTAATAATTTGTGTTTTTAGTAATCTTGATACTCTTCTCTATTCTCGTGGTAAGTTAATGACCAGAAGCAGAGGCAATTCTTTGGTAAAGCCTCAAGGGGCACAGCACTCTGAAATAAAACCAGCATGAACTGCAGGCCTGCTGCTCAGATAAAGCATAAAACAGTGAAATCACCTTTAGTCTGAAAGGCAGACATCAGTAGTGCTAATGGGGTATGCTTCAAGGTTTGTGATATTTAGGACAGATTACCAGAGGTATGCAGGGCCTTATGTAAGAATTTAAGTATCCCTGGTATTTTCTCAAATGACCTAAGCAGGTTCTATGCCAACATTTATTCAGATTTTATTTGACTTCCTGGCATACCAAGAGAGGAGAACCTTGAAACACAGCACTTTGGAACTAACAACTCCTTCCTGTTATTGGGTGGCAAAACTTCCCCAGGGATGCAGGGAACAAAGTCCCTGTTTCTCAAGAACATTTTTGTGTTTTTTTTAAAAGAACTATTTATTTAAAGATAATCTTCACAGCAAGAATTAGTATTATTAGATGTATTTCAAATGTTAATGAACAACCTAGTAAAATTATTCTACCCACAAACCTGTCCTACTCCAAATACCTGGCTCTGATCAGGAAAAGGAAAACCAGTCCTTAGTTTTCTACCAAAAGCTTTCAGCAAGTTGTGAACTGAATATAATTCTACAAAACAAAAGTGGAAGGCTGTACAAGTTCTGTAAAATGCACATCAAATCCAGTAAAGAAATGTAATTTTGATCAATTTCTGTTCATCCTACTGTAGAAAGCCTTGGCTCTTCAGTAAGTCTGTCAGGCAGAAATAACTGTAAATGGAAAAGCTGTTGCTAGCACCCTCATGAGTTCATAATAAATGTGATGATAGAAGATTTAAAAGGTGTTCATTTCTGTTTGTAAAAGCCACCTTAGTGGTGTCCATAACATCAAAAACTGAAGGCCTGGTGCACAACAATTCCCTATACTGAACTACCTACTTAGGAATCCTGTACAGGCCAGGAAGTCCATCTGTATTTATAATTTTAATAATCCAGTCCCCAATTCCTGGAACTGTTGCTGAGCAGCACCCAACAGAAGAGAAATTTATGCACATTGTTATGCATGCAGTTACCCTGCTTTTCAGCACAGACTGCCTGCATAGCTGAGACATTTAAACAGAGGAGATCATCGTTTTGTCTCTCTCTAACAAAGCATACAGACCTGGAGGGGTGAAGACAGAGTATTAGTATTCAAATAGGTAGTGACTTCCATTTGCTGAAACACTTCCCAGCTCAAACAGCTGCCATTCCAGTGGTGCTATCCTCCAGCAGAATCCTTATGGATCAAATTCTCCTGCCCTTGCTCTGGAAAGAATTTTTTCTATGGAATGCCATGCTTTCACTTCCTCCCCACACGTTCTTGCTCAGATGTATGAGAAGCATTATTTGTTTCAGCTTTTCCCTATAGTGGAGCAAAAGTTAAAACATCCATGTGACAAAGTTAAAAAAGTTAAAATTGTATGTGTAGATTTTAATTTGTTTTTCAGCTCTTGGGATTCTCTACAGGTGAAAACATGGCAGGCAAGAAACCAACCTTTGAAATAAGAACTCCAAACTGTACACCCTCTTATACCAAAGGCAGCACAAAATTATTAATTCAACCCATGTACAGGGCACAAGGAGCAACAGGTGAAGCAAAGCAGCCAGTTCCTGGGATAGAGAATCAGAGTTAAGTTGTCCATTGCAGGCAAATCAGGAAAGCCAACAGCCCCAGAGACAGCAGAGATTTCTCTCTGTACTGCAAAGCCTTCCAGACACGCTTTTCAGGAAATTAATTTTACCTATTTGAATGAATGAAATGTATCTAAAGACATTAACCTACCCAGAAATCATGTCCAGTTGAGAAAATCTTCGGTTGATATTCTTGATACAGAACAAGGATGGTCATCAGTTCTTTAAATTACACCCCATAACACCTTATGTCAGGAAAACCCAAACTCCTCTGATTTCTGCACCCAAAGGTGATAAAATTCAGTTAAAACATTTCCCTGCGGAATCTAAGCAAATGCAAAACTGAGAGCTGTGCTCCAGAACTATTTCCAGAGAATTTTCTTTCACTTTACTTCATCTTCTTCTTTAAAGATTGTGCATTTCTTATTATTTTTATGCTTATAAATAGCACTTTGGTAAATTTTTAACAGAAAGGACTCTAATACTATTGTGCATTGGTCTGCCTCTAGAATGAAGTAAATATAACACCTGAGGCACATCAGGCAAACCTGGCACTGCCACTGCAGAGGTTTCACTGCCTCCCCCAGTAGCACCACTGAGCTGAACTCAGTGGATCTGGCTCCTGCTGCTCTGGCAGCAGCCAGGTTTGCCAGAATGCCCTTCCAAAACTGAAACACAAAGATTGCTGCATACAGCTATGAAAACACAGCATTACAATATTAGAATATTGACCTTTGTACTAAATTAAATTCACAGCAACAAGAACAAGATCTGTCCAAAACGCTGTATTTACAATATAATAATGAAACATGGCAGCCTCAGAGCAATTGCTACAATGAGTTTTTTTTATCTTTTCACTGGTAAAAGCTGATCACAGTAGGAGAAACAATTTACCTAACTTTTTACAGCTCTGACATAGCTGTGCTGCCTTTTAAGTGCATCAGGGGTACATCTTGTGTAGTAAATGCAGACCATGTGGTTGTACACAAAATAACTTTTTATTTGCCAGTTTGGGAACAACTCTGCAGCTGTAGGATCCCATTTCCTGTCCTGAACAGAACATGTAAGACAGCATCCAAAGGCCCTGAGCTTCAGCAGTGGATATGCCACTTGGCTAAATATTGTACTTCTAAGGAAATTAATCTTGAGTGTTATTCATGGAATGCTTCTAAAATTTGAGTCACGAGCTCATACACATGTGAGCCATCTGGAAGCATTTCCAGGAGATGGAAAGGAGATTTAAAGAACTGTAAACAGTGTTAATTACACAATGCCCGTTTTACTTTTTTCCATTGCAAGGAAAGAAAGAAAACAACCTTAAACTCTTTATATACAAAATGACTGTAATTGAAAAAGGACTGCTTAAGAATTTGCATGCAATATCAGGAGATTAATCAAACTTCAGTGACTGACAGAATTCCTCCTGGTCAGCACTACCAGAAAAGCCTGTGGCAAGGAAATTTTTTGGCACTGTAGTAAAGAACTGTCAACAAGAGAAAGCACAGAACACTGGATTTTTGTTTACATTATCAAAACCTAATCAAAGAAAACCTGAAAGAGATAACTTAAGACAGAGACAAATGAAGCAGATTTTCCATCTATTTTCACATTAAACAAATCAGATATGAAGAATTTACTTTCCATTCTGCTGATATGAATGAATTTTATGCAATTTGCCAAATGCCAGTATCAACATTTCATATTCCAAGACCAAGATTTCTTGTCATTAATACCATGGGTGTTGGCCTGTGTGCCTTTCAAGAATCCATCTGAATGGAGGGACATTTGCAGGCACCTCACAAAGTAATTAATCATTTAAGATCAAACCCCAGATTTTATTGCTGCAACAACAGGCTACAAGGAAACCTGCCTCTTTCTACCCCCACTAATTAATTACCAGCCATGCTGAAGGGAAAAAAGTGCACAGCTCTTTAGCATATCTATTTCGCTTATTAAAATTAATATGCACAAGATGATTTTTACCTGTTTTCCTTTATCCCCTTTGGACATAAAGATATGTTTGCATTTGTCCTTAAAAGCAACCTTTAGAGCCTGTGTTGGGAAATACTGTGTCACATTTACCAAACCTCCAGTGCCAGAGATTCTACAGAGAAAGAAATGGATTTTTAAAAATAACTAGAGATTCTAAAATTTCCAAAGTTTATAGTACACCAACGATATTATAAAATATCTCTTCTATTTGGTATGAGCTGCAACAAACGCCAAAAACTTCCTTTTCAGGTCTTTCCTTTTTCAAGTACTTATTTTTGCAATTTCTGGATTTATTTTGAAACTTATGAATTTGGTGTTAGTACTACAAAATCTCAAAGCTATCAGAGAAACATCAGTAATATGAGAAATAACCTAGATTTTCAACTTTTTTACTTGACCCATTTCTAGGACTAGGGATAGCAATGGGAAGTGCAGGAGAGCAGAGTATTGACAGGGCTGTGCAGGCACTGCACTTCTGAAGCCTCCCTGTGCAGTTTGGCTGACAGAAAGGGTGCTCACACTCCATCTTAAAGCAATACCTGACAGCTTCCACAGGTATCAGAAACTCGGTGGCACTTCTAGAATTACATTATTCTTCTAAATTAAAGAAAGGGTTCTCCTGGACATGAAGATAAACAGCTAAAACCACTGCAGAACAGACTTCTTGCTTTGCTCCACGTTCCTTCTTCCATCTACCAGGCAATCTAATACCCAAACCTCAGGTATTTTAGACTTTTGGGAGGTGTAACAGACTAACTCTCCCATCACTTGATTTATACACGGGGAACACAGCTAACACACTACTGCTGTGATCTGTAGGCCTCGGACTGAAGTACTGCTGCTCATCTGCTGGGAACCATAAATCCTGGAGAAAGCTGATTAGTAAAGTCTTCAATCACTGCTTGCACTTCAGGCCTAAGACTTCTGCTGCTTGGAACGAAAGCAACTGCTGAGTGATGAAGACAAGCTGTGAATCACCCTGTGAGCACTGCAAGCATTTGATTGACTGTTTTAGGACTACCCCAAACTGTGCCATTCACTAGTGAAAACAAGATCTAAAGATTTGGCCATCAGAACCCATGAAACTGAGTTTGCTTTCCACTTAAACCTTTTGATCCCATTGGTTAAAATGAAATTCTAGTTAAGCATTTTATGAAAAGCACTCATGAAAAACAAGCAGAATAAAATAACAAAAGAGAAAATACATTAAGTAAAAAAAGAATAAAAATTAATGCTTTACTGTTCTTTAACAAATATACATTTTTATTATGAATTAAAAATAAGCCATGTCCATGCACATATTAAAACCACCCTACCCGCCCCTTCTTTCTTTATGTCTTCAAAATTGCATTTTAACAAATTTAAGTATTATTTATAGTTAAAACTCACGGAGTCAAATAAAACATCAACAGCACTATAGTCCTTGAGTGTGCAGGAGAGCAAAAGTGGTAAACTATTAGTTTTGTGAGGCTAAGTGCCAGGAATTGTCTAAAACATTTCTCTCTGTTTTGATTAACACAATGCTACTGAAAACATTCAGCGTTTTTCAGGCCCTCAGAGATGCAAAATTTTAAGTAACTGGAGAACTCTTTTTTTCCTCCACCACCAATTTCCATGTTCATACTCTGAGGATCAGCTTATCATTTTATGTTGCATATTGTACACTGAACAGCACTGTATGTTCAGTGATGTGATGTTTTCATATAATAAAGTTATAATCAGGATAAAAAAAAAAAAGAGTGACTATATCAAAATACGAACTTTGGTTCTCTGAAAACAAGCATTCAATTGATGAGCTCATCAGAAGCACCACTGAAATTTTGAATGCGTCATAACACAAGGTGATTTTTTAAAAGCATTTCAGAGATGCCCCATGGGATGCTTTAGAGAATGAACACCACCATGCAGGATGCCTGAGTGTGCAGGAAGCTCATCTATGTAGCTAAGCCAAAGGACAGTTTAAAGGCCAGCTCCACAGCAGCTTCTGTCACTGAGTCATGGAAACACACGTAACACTCCTGAGGTTTGGGATGGGGAATGAACCTCCTGGGGGAAAAAAAAGAAAGAAGAAAAAGAAGAAAATCATCACAGGTGTTATTTTTTTTCCTCCCCAAATGGTAGATTCTGGTTGTACTGTGAGTTTTCTGCTGGAAATTAAAACAGGCTGCTGTGTAAGACAGTTGGCAAATTTTAGTGTCTGTCCTGCATTACTTTACCTCTTTCAATGCAGTGGATTTTTAAATGAAATTATTCTCTACTCAAGTTTTTTTAAGGCTGTGTAGGGGAAAAAAAATCTTCAGGTTTTCAGGATCTTCTGTGTCTGTTTGCAGCAAGCCAAGTTTGTGGGCTACAGGCTGCAATCAAGGTCTTAGGGAGCAAGCCCCAGGACTCACACATTTACTAATTTTTAAAGGTAGTAACATCTGGGTAGTTACATTCCCACATATTAATCCAATAAGCTCTTCTAGAGAAAGAGCTAAGATAGAGAAGCTGTTAATACCTGTGCACTATAATTATGTTTTAAAAAGATATCAACAGTAGCATAAACTTTCTTAAATGTTTTAATTAAAGATTTAAATTTTTCCACACAAACTGCAGTTATGTATATTCATAGTGGGAAACAATTATTTTTCTTTCTCTTTAACCATTTTTCTTCCCAATGAAAAAGTTTTTTATACTATAACAGTAATTATAACTGTCACTTTATTTGTTTATGTCATTGACTCAGTAGCTATTAAAGGTGGAAATTCACATCAATTCAACTTCCCAGTCCCTTTAAATTAAAGCTACCTCTGTCAGCCACCTCAAATATTTCTGTGATGTGCTACAGTTAAATTTATTTTTAAATAACACAATGCCATAGTCAAAATGAAAAACTGGAGGTGAAATTTGTCTTTACACTCACCCCACAACCCAGTAGTTCATTGTTGGTGGTGGTTTCTTCTGGTCAGTCCAGTTTTCCGGAGAGCACTCAAACAGAAGTCCGTATTCTTTTACCAGACCTGGGTCCTCAGCTGCCTTACTGAATTCTGAAATCCCGCTGCCTGCCTTCTTCTTTTTCTGTAAAACAGCTGGTGAAATGTTAGCAGAGAATGAGACATTTTGACATAAACACGAGCAAATACGACCATGTGATTTGTGCAGGACCCTCTGATGGATGACTCTGCTGTCAAAAGAACAGGCTTAGAAGACATAACTGACTTGCTTACATGATTCTTTTCCCCACAGTTTTGTTACTTTGGCATCAAAAAGCTTTTCCATTGTTACACAAGTTGGAATTAGACGCATGCTCACTTTTTTGACTTTTTTTTCCTTCTAGCTAAAGACCGTTTTTCTAATAAGACATCTGAGTTACTACAGCATTTTTAAAAAGTGTGTTACAACAGTTAAAGCTCTCATCTTTCTTTCTCTGTGTGCCTCCCTAATTAAGAACTGTGATAGTAAAAGTCTACTGAATAAACTTGGCCAGGTAGGAATTTCTTTTTGTAAATAAACAGCTGAAGCACTTTGCTCAGAGCATTTTCTGACTCTTTCTCAGTATGAGGGCATAAAAGCATAGAAAATAAAGATATTTTTGTGTTTTCTCAAGCTTTTAGAGCTATGTTTTGAGTAGAGCTTTTGAATAAACCTTGCAAAGTTCCGGTTCATCTCTGGATCTGCCAGTTAAACACAGTTGCTTCAAAGGTGAAAGAAAAGGTATTTTTAGAAAACAGCTCAAGGAACTTCTGTGTGCTATATGCAGATGCAGAAACCACATTGCTCAATCTGCCTACAATACTGAAGATGTAGGGGATGAAGATCTAGAATACACAGTCAAAACATCGTATTTTAGGGTTTAAGACTACTGAGCATATTTTTGCACAATTTAAGACCTACTCAAGATTCCTGTACACATTTTAAAAGTTAAATTGTGAATTTTCAGTTCTCAAAATTTGAGGCAAAACTAATTATTGATCAGTTTACAGTAACTTCGCATTACTGGTACAGTTCTCTGGATCCTAAACCATAACAGTATTTAGCAGATGACAAAGAATACACAGTATAATAGTACATTTATGTATTTGATTTTTTTATAATGTACTGTGAACAAGGCAAATTTCTATTTATTCTTTAACATTCTCCTTGTGCCATAATTCAGCCTGCCAATTTCAGCATTAATTGCTGGAGCCAATCTGCAAAAAACTACAGCAAATCTGCTGTAAGAGACTTGTCCAACAGTTATTTCTGGTTCTCAGTTTTTATGGCTTGAACTATAAAATGTCTATTTAGCGGCTGTTGCCAAAGGCAATTTGATGCTAAGAAATACTAATTTATTCTCTTCTGCCTGCTTTTAGGTTTCTACATCTCCCAACAAAAATGCCCAAAATACATGGCTCATTGCCAAAGTCCTACTCAGCCAAACCTCAGTGTCATGTGACCAATCCACCAAATTATCACTATTTTTAACACTTGAAAATTCCCAGATTTACAAGGCACATGGGGATTGAAATCACTTCTTCAGTAACATCAAAGAGACATTAAGAAAAACTATACTGCTATTTGCAAACTTGCCTTCATTCAATTTGTACTGTTATTTCCCCTTTTCTCACTTTACTCACTTGAATTGTCACTTTAGGATCTAAAAAATACAACTGAGAGTATTCCACTTCAGTTTAGGGTCTGCAGACATGCAAATACAGCTGCTCGTGAACCACTGAAATTATGAAGTGAAAAGAATCCTGAAATACTGCATTGAGAATGTGATTGGACAAAGAGAAATCCAAATTTCCATACCTCTTTCTTCATGGACTGCTGGAAAATGGAATGAATTGAAAGGCAGCACTGGTAGAAATTCTCAATTAACTGAGGGTGGATGGAGCCACCGAGCTGTGCTACTTCCTTGTGAGTTGGAGTAATAAAGATTCCTTGCATTGTCTCCAAAGACAGATAGTGGAAGAGTGTGTTCTCAGGACCAGATGTCAACCTTCAAAATATTGGAGAATTCATTTAATTAAAATAATTAAAATAACTTGCAGCTTTTGTTTCTTAAGGCAGAACTGTTTTTCTAATTACAGTAGGGTACAAAATGGATACAGGCACTCAAAAGGTTCCTATCTCCACACCAAGGAAATCCTGCTGATTTTTTATAAATACTTAATTTAAAAAAACAACAAATTAAAAAAACTGTGCTGCTAGTTAGGCATTGCATTTGTGTTCTCAAAAATTGCTCCCAAAACAGGAAAGTGAAATAAAAGCTTTGTTCATTGTACGTCTACCTAGAGATAACATGGAGGCACAAAGCAAATATGTGTGTGGTCCAGAAACTTCTGCTTGAAATTCCAAGGTCACACAGATGTGGGACAGGTGTGCACAATACTGGCATATTATTCAGAAACAGCTGTCTTTTACTGTATTATTTCAAATTTTTATGTTTAATTAAGCTCTCAGTTTAACAGATTCAATTCTGATAATCTTTGCACAGCAAAGCTTTGGTTGGAATAAAATAATGAGGGGACTTCTGTGATCGGTGTATATTCAAAGAACAACCCAAGCATGGCCTAAAAAAATAAATACTCAATAAAAATTTCTTACTTGATAGCATTAAGAAGTTCTGTATCTTTCTCTGAAGAGTTCTTTTTCAGGCTTCCTGAATGAAATGGGTTTGGCAGGGTGTGTTTTTTCCTAGTGGCCTGAAGAAGCAGATAGATGAAGTAACAGAATACGCAGCTGAAGAAAGAACAGAATCCAGCCAAACCAACAGAAAGGACAATGTAGCATTTTGAATAAGACCCAGTTATATCCATTTCTATAAATGTATTTTATAGTCTATTTTAGACTAAATTGGTTAGAAGCATTTGTACAGCTGTGCAACCATTAGTTTTGATGGGTTATTTAGGGGATATTCTCCTATTAAATCTGCTTTTTTGAACACAGCTGTGCCCACTTCAGTCATGTGAAATCTCCAAATATTTACAAGCAATGATAAAATAAAGAAGTGTGAAGGCTCTGGGTCTGACTCAGAGCTCCCCAAGGCAGAAGAATTATTTTCTACTGAATTCAAGGGACTTACTCTTTTTATCATGCACTTTTAATAAAAGCCACCTTGAGTTTGAATGAGCTGCCCTGTCCCCAAGCCCCCAGAAGCTTTTCAATTCTCTCTGCATGTTTCTCTGACCTGCTCCAGCACAGGCTGTGCTTTGGTGCTCTCCTCCCCCACAGGCCCCTCGCTGCCCTGCTCGGCTGCCCTGCTGCTCCTCGGGGGGCTCTGCTTCCGTGGGGTGTGGGAAGTGTCCCCAAAGAAGCTCCTCTTGCTCCCTGGAGTCCTCCCAGCTTTGTAGGAGCTCTGGAGCTTGCTCAGCATTGGTGAGGTGCTCAAGCTCTCCAGTCTGTCCCGTGCTGCAGGAAGGAACCAGTCAGCACAGGCTAAAGGTGGGATGGAGGGAGAATCCAGCCTTTCCTCTATGCTGGCGTCTATTCCTTCCAGCTGGAGTATGGTTGCTTTGACCTGGTCTACATAGATGCAGTCTGGTCCTGGATTCCCAATAGCTCTGGATGCACAGCCCCCTGCCTCCAGCAGGACACACAGGACAAAGTGTCTCTGTAAATACAAACAAAAAAGACTGCTTACAAACTCATCAGCTGTTTGCTTTAAAGGAAGTCCACATTTAGAAAACCAAAACCAGACGTTTCTGATGTGAGCTGTCTGAAAAGACAAGATTACGAAGGTAGAAACATTTTCAACTGAAGTGAAAAGGCATAAATATAATGAGAATTTGTATTAAACTTCACAAGTGTTGTAGGTTTATAAATAATGCTGCTCCCTGGGAAATTCTATCCCATGAAACAGCTACAATTTGAGTATTTTGAAAAATTACCCAACAAAATAAATGGAAAGTGTTGATCTACTGAACAGACAACTCACAACAGCAGAAGAGAGCCTCAGAGAATGGACATGCTGCAGCATTAACTCACCAAGCCAACTATCAGTAAGAAATATCTTGCTTCAGGTTCCCTGTATCCTGTCAAACTCGACTCCTCGCCCGGCTGGAGGTGATGCTGTGGGAACACTTCCCGCCAGATCACTAACTGCCCAATCCTCTGCTCTGCTGCCAGGGCTAACAGGCAGTAGTGCTGGCAATAGAAACCCACATCAACAAGGTCTTCCTTTGGCAAGTGATTACCAATCAAGTAACCCTTAATTAAACACAGAAAAGGAAGTGTGTTCAGTGAGAATACAACACCACCACGCAGCACTTCAGAGTACTTTTCATACAGAGATATCCCCGCTCCACGTGCACTGAGATCTTCAGGTTTCTGGCCACAGACTATCTTTTTGGTGTAGTTGTACAACACTGAGCTTTTAGGCCACTTCTAAGTAATCAAAATATAATAAAATACATATATAATATAATATATATATAATTATATATATAATATGTATGTAATCAAAACTAAATATAAGCAAATCAACCATCAGCATATATGCAAGTTATCAGAGGTGAGCTGGGCTTTCCCAGCTTGCAAAACAGCTACACTATTAAGGTGTTTGAATTCTCATTTAATTCTCTCTCCAAAAATAGAGAGCTTTCACTGGAACTAATAAAATTTCCAAAGAAAATCCATAGTACAGTGGCTCCAGCACTAAGGGCTTTAATGTTGAAGTGCTGAGATAGTAGATACTGTGCAGTAAAACAATTGCCTGATAAAATCCTAAAAATGCAAATTTTTTTAAAGCAAAGGCTGTTACCTTCCTCTTCGTACTATTGACTACACTGTCTACATTTACCAAAGAGAAATAAAGTTACAAATGAGGCCAAAGTGAAAAAAGCTGTCAATACAATTTCTCAAGTCTTGAATTTAAAGACAGATTCAAGATAGAGTACCTGCTATTAAAACATGGGAATAAACAAGAGTTCATATTAGAATATCCTACAGTTTCATTTGACCTTACTCTTACTGCTTTATTACTCTCTCTTTCCAATCCTTGGCTTGTACACCAAGAAATTCCAATTTTAAAGAAGTATTTTTGTTCTTGCTGTTCATTTAGTACATAGCATTTCCCAACACTGATTTTTTTCTGTTATGGTATTTGAGCTTTAGGTCTGTCACTAGAAATCAGTCACATATTCACTTCAGACTTGTGAGATTCTGAAAGACTAAACCAGATTTCTAGATGCATTTTCCTAATGTTTAGGTCTTAATCATTAATACTACCTTGTAAAAGAGACAAGAACCCAGGATCACATATAATCTTCTCATGTCATAATAATCTTCAGACTGTTGGGGAGGAAAAAAAACATTGTATAATTTTTAATTCTGTGTTTTTATTTTATTTACCAAATGCAGGTGAACTAATTCTGGTCAACTGTAATTAGTACTTCAATACTTTCATATCTGACCACATCTTATTGCCAGTACAGCAGTTAATACTGAGCAGTTAAGGGAAATACCAAATTTTTGGCCTCCCTCATTGAATTTTGTGTGCTTACAATTTTCTCTAAAAATTTCACCTCAAAATAACTAGTTTCTACTTATGTGTTCTTATGTGTTCATAAACTTTGTACTTATGTGTTCATAAACTATTTTTGTTAGGATATGTCCATTCTCACAGTTAACAGCAAAGTAGCTTTAGCATAACTACTGACACCAGGGGCCCTCCTAGAGTAAAACTTTAAAGTCAAAGCATTTTTTTCCGGTCTTTGACATTTTACTCAAAAGATTCCCAGTCATTAATCTTTTAATGCCCAGTGCTCTCCCACTGGCAGCACTGTTTTTAGACAGATATACTGTATTTTCAGTTAAGTAGGTGGAATCAGTTTCTGTGCAATGAACTGTTGACTTATAAACACTAATTTCTGTAATCATCTAACTTGTTCAGTGCAAGGATTCTTTTGAATAGAATTTTAGGGTAACTGTTCTGGAACATGAGCTCAAGAGAGCTTTCATTACAAAGTAAAGCTGAAATGTCAATGTGTTTACACCTTGCACAGCTAAGAGTTACTGAAGTAAATTATATTACTATCATCTTCTGTAGCAATATTAAAACTAAGCAGAATTTGTAATTGCCTTCTGTAAACTGGAAAATTAAATTCTGATCCATAGATGTTTCCAAGTTTGTACACAATTGCTTGGGAAGGAAACTGTTGTTTACACAAAGAAGAAATGTAACAACAATCACCTCTGTGATTTTTGTAGACATCCTATGGATTTAAATTATATTAAATCACAGATTTTCAATGACCAATCCTATAGGATTATAATATGTTATAATATTAAGCATGGAGAAAAATTCAAGATAAACTGCTTTGATTCCCAATTCATTAAAATAAGTTGATGGATTTTGCTTAGAATAGTCTTTGCTTAAATAAACCACTGAATGTGATGCAAAGGCAAGGAGATACTGTGCAAAGCAAACACAAAATAAAATTTTTACCAGCTCTGCAAAGTCAGCTGCTTCCAGATCACTCAGTGCTGTGTCAATTTCCATCTGAAATAGTAAAAAAAACCCCAAACTTTTAAAATAAAGGTTTACAACACATTAATTTCCAGTAATAGCACATCTTGCTCTTTCTTGCTCATCTCATCTGGGGATTTGCAAGTACAAAGTGACTGGATAAAAAGCTGCACCTATTTTTTATTAGCAACATCAAATATCAAGAACACCTGGAGATACCAGAATTAAGAAAAATCCTTTCTAATTGCTGTCTATTGCCCTATTCTTTGAACTGTGCCATTTCTCTGCTTGTGTGCCTCCTGAGCCGTGTTAGTACAAAGGAGATGCCACTCTTACTTTCAGTGTGCTTTAAAACATCAGGTCTAGAGACAAACCTGGAACACTACTGCATCCAACTGAGTTTTCAGAAAAATCTTTTATCCAATGTATTTAAGTTTTTTGTCTCTATGGAAGTTGCCAAAATTCTCTCACACATTATTTTTGTTCTACTGGAACTACTTTAAGCCTCCTTATTTCTGTAACTGCAAGAGCTGTTGGTAAAATCAAATTTAACTAAGAGTACTTTTCTTGGTCCTAGGCACTGAAACTCATTACATAAATGTGCTGCTTAATGAAAAGAACCTAAATCACGTGGTTGCAAACTTCTTGAGCTGTGTTAACAGGCTGTCTCTAATTGAAATACAGCCAGTTTTCAAACAGAGAAATGTCAGCAAGTCTGTTGGCACTCAACAACTAACCATCCACTCAGCTTTTCCCCAGTCAAAATTTAAATGGCTTTCTGCCTGAAGAACTAACATTTTTAGTTTTATATCCCTTATAGAATAGAACAGCCCTTCACCAAAACACTAACTGGAAATGTCATCTTCTGCAACAACAACACTTTTCTGGCAAATGGGAATCATCTCAAAGAACTCTGGAAAAGTGATGTCTGTATTTTAAGTATCAATGATGCTGTTTCCTAAACACTTTTATAACTTACTATTTTATAAGAAAAAAATAGCCTGCAAGCTAAACTGGAGACCAAAGCACAACATAGCCTCTCTACAAAAACTGAGAAGTAAGAAAAAAGCATGGAAAACCCCTCATCAAAAAATCGTAAAAAAGCAGTAAAAAACCTACAGTTCAAGGTGGAAAGAACTAAATAATGATCAGTCTGTGACTAAAGATAAAGGAGAAGACAGTTCTCCTTTAAAGGAGAAAAGGGAGAAAGCCACAATAGCAAAGAGAAATCTGTTTGGAAACAATGGCACAGACTCATGTATTTTAAACTGGAATCACAGATACTAAAGTAATGAAAGTGAGGTTTATGACTGGCAGCTAAAATGTTATTAAAGTTGTAATTAAATGTTATTTACTGTGATCCACCTTTTGTCTCACTACTGCTTACAGCACAGCTCAGTTTCTAATATGGAGGTAACCTGGCACAGTGAAATGGTACAGAAAAACTACCTGTCTGGCATCAACTAATGACATGTGGGTATTTATTTTGATTCTGCAACAGCCATTTATAACTCTCCTAAATTATGAGAAGTACATGGGCTTCTAGAATAATATTTCCTGCCTGCCAAAATACTTCAGTGGTTAAAATCAAACATACAGCTACATACCAGGGGCTGCTTTCTCTACTATTCCTAGGTAACACTGAAGTCACCAAACTTGAGTCACACTCACAAACTGCAATCCTGTGGGAATGCTGGTGTAGCTCCAAACCTGAATTTTATAGGGAAATGGACCATCTGGGATGGGCAAAGCACTTAGGTAAATCAGGCAGGAGGAGCAGAAGACACCTGCACTGACTTTTTGGCCTGTCATGGGCAGGTTTTCCTGGAGAGATGTGAAAAGGACAAGACCTTGACTTCCTGGGGCAGCGTCAGCCAGCGCAGGCCAGGGAAGCCGCCCAGGAACAGAGCGCTGCAGGGATCCTGCTGCTGGGCACCGGGGCTGCTGCTGGGCTGGAGCCCCGCGGGACGGAGGGCACGCTGGAAGAACAGGTTGAAAAAATGATCCAGGCGAGAAACATTTTCCACCTGGCAAAAAGCACTGGACAAACATGAACTCCAAGTTAGAATAACACTGAGAAATGTGCAGCTTGTTTATATAACCCGCAGTGATATGCAAGCTTCTTTATAGCACAGTGATACATTTGGGTGTTTTTTAACATGGAAAAAAACCACTAGGATGATATCCAGGCAGTATCTACAAACAAAAAACAAACTAAACCAGTATGGTATTACCATAGAGCAGCTTAAGGTGAGTGAAATATCAGTCTCATCCTTTTGGAAACTGAGATTTGTTCTTTTTCATTCACTATGGCATACACACATTAACCCTGAGTTAAATTCAAGAGTATGGGTAATCTACCTGGGCAATTTTATTTAGGTAACAGTCAGACTGACAGTCTCCTGGGTTATTTCCAAATGCAGAGAAAGACACTCACTCTGCCAAATGGAGTTTGGCACTCTAGATACTCACTCTGGAGAAGTCCAGAGTGTTTACTCTGTTAAAAATGTAACATTGACACATGTGTGTTTTACAGATGCTGCTGACATCCACAGTGACTTGGATTACGGGAATGATTTAACCTATCAAGGACAAAACTTTATGAAGTGACAAAGCCTGCTGAAACAGTGTCTTACTAGTGTTAAGACTGAAACCAAAAGGCAAGAACAACAGAATTCTTGTTTTTATACAAGTGTAAAGGAACATGCCAAGAAACTCCCTGGAAACATGAAAATTAATCCTAATACTTGTCTTTTTCAGTGAGCACCAATGAAAAATGAGTGACTGAAAAGAAAATACTTCTGAAAAAACTCACCTGTCCAAGGAACTGTACATGAATGTTAAAGTCCTGACAACATTTTCAATCATGTTCCTCAGCTGATAAAGTGGCACACTACCAAATAAAAATTAAAACATACAGTTATGGTTATAACATCTTTATGATGCATAAACAGCCCTCCTAGAACATGTAAATACATAATATTACTGATGTTATTCAGCAGTCTCTTCAAAGAACTTGTGTTTTCGAAATCCTAGGATATTACTCTTTTCTTATTTACAGATATTTCCAGATCTTATTCTATTCAGAGGAAAAGAAAAAGAAATTACAACAATGGATATGTGAAAGATGTGAATAAAATCTATCAAAATAGTGGAATCACAGACACAAAAACTAGTGATACTGAGTACATTTTAAGCCCTTTCTTGCCTTTTTTGTTAGAAGAGGACACAAAATAAATTTGAGGACACAAAATTTAAAGGAAAACAAAACTTTTCCTTTGAAACTCACTTTTCTTCAGGAAGGCCAATTATGAGCAACTTATCCGATTCTTTCCAGTAAACAACTTGAACCAGTTTTTCACATAAGAACAGGGAGGAACTAGAAAAATGAAACCAGAAGTATTTCTGTTAACACTATGAAGTTATAAGGGAGCTGAAAGTCATTTCACTGAACTAAAAATCCTAGTCACTGCTACCCACGACACCAAAATTCCCCCAAATCAATTTACATCCAGGCTGAGTACTCCACCTCAGGCATGCTGTTGTAGTTAAAAAAAGTTACTGCCTAAACAGGTTGAGTTGCTCTGGTTTGTCTAGAACTTGATGCATGACCCATGTTTGCTGTACGTGTATGTATAAAGTAATAAAAACAGTAATTACATTTCAAACATTTTACCTGATAATCTCGGTACCAGTAATACTTTCCAGTATGTCAGACAGTGTGAGAAATATCCCTCTCACACTTTTCAGTTTTTGGGATGCTTCAGATATGGGGTACTGATAAATAATTTCTTGCTGTGAAGAAAGTTAACTGTTAGTGAAGTAAACCAAAACCAAAACCCCTCCAAAAAATCCCCACAGAAAATAAAATAAGTATTTTTTACTGTGGTAACAACTGTGGTTTTTTCCAAACATTAAATATTTTATCATATCCTTTCATATGGCATTGAAATGAGCAGTGCACTGCATGGGCATACTGGAAAGTTCTAAAAGGCACATGAATGTTTCTGACAGTTTTAAATTATCTATTTTATAGAAAAGCATGACTTATTTAGATTAATTATTACATGGAGAAATGTAAAATGATGATTGGTGTGGCTGCTTTACAGCTTTAAGTACACTGTTAACACATCTGATGCCAAGAGGGAGGAAGAAATTCTTTGCTGTGAGGGTGCTGAGGCCCTGGCACAGGCTGCCCAGAAAAGCTGTCGATGCCCCATCCCTGGAAGTGTCCAAGGCCAGGCTGGATGGGGCTTGGAACAGTCTGGTCCACCAGAAGGTGTGCCTGCCCATGGCTGTAGGGCTGGAACTGGATGATCTTTAACATCCCTTTCAACCAAACAATTCTCTGATTCAAGTATTTGTACAGTTCTTTCAATGTTTAAATTCTGACTTAAACCATCATCAAACATACAGCTCTTCAAAACTAACACAGAATATGAAAACTCAAGTCTCTCTGTATAACCCTACCTGGCTGCTTTACATGGATAGCATAAAACATAACTGAAGAATATGGTCAAATTTTAAAATACACCTTTAAGATTTCTCATGAAACATCTCACCAAATACACAAGTCATTTGAATCTAAAGCTCTATAGAGATAAATACCTGTGAGATAGCTTTCTTTTTATAACCATTAAAAAAAAATTATTTTATTCAAGCATTTTAAAAAAATTTGTATTATTTCAGTAGCTATAAAAATATAGTAATAAGCAAACATGATTCCCCCTCATTTATTCCTTTCTGTCAAATCATGATGGGCCAAAAATAATGCATGCAATATTAAGCATATCCACTGCAAAGATTATAGTAAATTATCTTTCTCCACAAACAAATGAGACAGGCATGATTAACTTCCCTGTTTATGTCACTAATCATATTCAGCCAGTGCCAACATCCTTTAGAAAATTTTCCTTCACAAAGAATGCAAAATTTTGTTACAGAAGAACCTGACAAACTCTTCATTCATATCCAATTTAATTAACTCTATTTATAAATACTCATTAGTGACAAGGATCTTTTTTTCTAGAATCAATCCCTCAACTGAAGAAACCCTGCTGTTTTCTAATTGAAGCACTGCAAAGGGCTAGAAGGAGCCTGTTCCCCCCCCTTCCTCACTATGAACTGGGGCCTTCACCCAAAATTTGTCTGAGAATGATCTGAACACATTCCCAGGGAAAGAAAAGCCAACTGTAACAAATGGGCAGAACTGTTATCATGTATGGATATATAGTGATTTAGCAAGGGCCAGCACATGCCACCGAATCAGCTGTCTCCAAAGCAAGCCCAAAGGTCACAGGCCAATGACAATGGGATTAATAAATACAAGTTCCTAATTTCTTAAAGTGTAAATCCTCCCTCAACCTAACCCCCAAACCTGGACAGAATCTTCTAGTAATAACAGAAGGAACATGAACACTATTCCTTTTAATATATGCTATTGCCAAAATCAGGTCAAAGATGTGAGTGTTGCACACAGCTACAATTAATGCGTAATTATAATACCCACCTTAAACTAAAATATAAAAAAAGGCAGGGTTGACCTTACTCACTGAGAAACTGTTACCATAGGGACACCCCCCACAGGCATACAAATATCCCAAATTATTCCCAATACTACTTCCCTGCAGAGCTGAGCAGACAGAGCTTACAAGTCTTAAAGCTCATTAGTTCTATTTTAGGAGCCAAAAGCTCACAAGTGGAATACTTATTTACAAGTTCCAGTTGCCACAGTTTACACGGATGTGATCTGCATACTGTGCCTCCTCTGGATATGGGTAAAGCAGCTTCTTAAAGAATCATTATATTTCTATTGTGCAGGATGGCTTTGGTGTACCGTAACTTCATTTAAACTACTGCTTAAACTGAATCTGGGACAGGACATCTACAGTATAGCACTTGCCTGAAGTTCAGAAAATTAAATTTAAAGACAAATGCCTTAAAGAAGGTGGCATTCTTTTTCAAGGAAATGCTATAAAGAGCTTCATTACATCAGCAAAGCATCTCTCAACATATCTGGGGCTGCATACTTGCCAAGACTTCTCAGGAAACAATTATTCCATGTTGTGCAGGGACAATAAGGGCATTACAATCCCTCTTTTACCTCTGCTTAATGTTCAGGATTAATCAGTTTCTTGGGAGAATGTAAAGGAACAATGGGGCAAGAAACCAGTACTCAATTTACTGTGAAGTGCAGAATTGCAATCAGGCATTTACATGTGTGAGAGAGGAGCCAGAGGCCCTGAAATTATGTTTTTTTAATATTTCATGAGGGTTACGTTGTCAAGAAAACACTGGTCTTGGACTAGTACGTTATGGTATAATGTAATTTTCTAGGGTTCTCCTTCTCATCCCTGTCTCTAGAAAATAAAATGAAACCCTATTTTGTGTAGCTGTAACACTTTTTCTCTATTACGTATCACCAGCAGAATGTAGACTTGTAGAAGTTGAAAAATAGCATTAAAAAAAGTAAAGGTATCTCAATCTAAGAATAAATTCCAAGGGAGAGAAAGCAACATGTTTTCTTTCTGCTCCCCACTCCATCACTGTCCTGCCATCTTAGTCCCTGGGGACTGAAAAAACCTGTGCTTTATGTCTCCTCAGCACAGATAATCTAAGATCACTGGGACACAATGCTAAATTTGAGAATTCACACAGAGGCAGAAGAATCTTTTCCCAAATGTCTGTTCCTAAGAAGTCCACTTTGTCCACTTGTCACTTCCAGACTGGGCAAGAGGCCAAGCTCAGCTCTGTGTCTCTGCGTGGAGAGGAATATTTGTAGCTATGGCTACAGCCTGAGCAACTACACAAGCTTACAGTGCCTTACATGCACACTGGCAACATTTTCTCCGAAGAACACTATAAAGAAAGAGAGTGAAAGGAAGCTTTACAGGACAAAGGAAAAGTACTTCAGTAGCTCTAAAAAAAACACTGCCCAAGCAAGAATAGCAGCTGACTGCTAATAGCAGACATGCCAGAGCCCTCTAAGAAAAGGCACATTACCATTTCAAAACACGAGGAGCCAGACAGATTATGGATGTGGAGTGCCAATAACTCCTGCTGGGGCATATTTTTTTGACTAGGCAGATCCTGGCGTTCAAAACCCAAAACCTCCCAGAGGCAGTTCAGCACTGGGGAATGCACCTTGGCTGTGGAGTCACCACCTGGCTGCTCCTCACCTGCTCTCAGCTGAGTTCAAGGCCAGTCAGGAGTTTGTCAGCAGTGATGCTGGTTCTTCCTCCCTGGAATTACAGGCCTTATTTCTGCCAAAATGGGTATTTTATGGATGATTCCCAACTCCAAACCATTAGGAGGATATTTTATCTATCCTTTTACATCTAATGTCAAGGAGCTGCTAGGTCAGTGGTTACCGTGGAGCTCGGGTTTATTGAGTCAGGCACATACCTCATCCTTGGATGTCTCTGAGTCCAGTTTCAGCGTGAGGAACATGACAATGTGAGGCACGTCCTGCACAGCCTGCTGAGGGTCCAAAGTGTCCTCTCCCCACAGGAGCCGAACCAGGTTGTTCATACTTGACTGTTTGTTCCTTTGCTCAGAAGTTCCTTCAGGCTCAAATACTGAGGTTTCAAATGTCATTTTAACCTATAAGGTGATTACTGTGAGAATGAAGCTGTACTTACAATTACTTTCTAATATCAGATGAAACAGATGGAGTTTGAGCCCTTTAAGAGGTTAGGTTTTCTCAGCCTCAGCTTTACTGATGAAGATGTAAGCAAACAAAATTCCTGCTGTTTCAAGAAAACCAATTATACATTCAGCATTACATAACCATCTATTAGAAAGGACAAGCCAGCTATTACATGGTCTATGAACCATGTGAGTAAGCATGTGGTTTGCTATGCTTTCATACCTAATTCTTATGGTTTTGAGAATGGAAAAATATACTTACTGCTCTGGCTTTGTCTGAGCACAAAAACCCATTACTGTGCCTTTGAAACACACACAGTATTTGTCGTCTTTTAAAATGTCAGCAGTTTCCTAAATACATATACTGAAGGCTCTTTCTAGAGCATTTCTTTGTCATTTTGAGTGCACTGACACATTTGCACAGGGAAATCCATTTAAATTTACATTGGAGTGCAAAAGTCTGTTAAATTGTAATGGTAGCAATTCTTTCATTTTCCATACGTATTTCCTGACACACAAACAATATATGATCCAAACTTGATGCAGAAACATGCTTCAAAATTTGCTTTACAGACATAGTTTTTTAAGCCCTGACTTACAAAAATTATCTTAGTTGTCTCAGCAGTGATGAAAGTGAGTTTTTTCTTTTTTTGTGAATGAACACATTATCCTAAGTACAAAAGGAGGAGAGATGAGAAACACCTATCTCTTGATTGAGGATAAAAATGCTAGTTCCAAGGAGAAAAAATTAATTTATGTTCTTGGATGAGACCTTATTGTTTATCAAAGTGACTGAAGATATATTTGGACTAAGTAGGCATGCTCTTAGTTTCCTCTTTCACATGTTTTTACTCAAGACTGTTTGTCTGCCTTGAAATACTGTAACGTGGGAAGTTCTGAACATAACACATCACACCAAATCCTGCTTCTTTGTTAAAATCAGTGGCAGTTTAGCCTGAGGACTGATGTAACAAAATCCATTTTTGTTTTCCCAACTGCAAAAAATTTTGAGAAGCCCAAGCAGATAATTTATACATTTAAAACCAGATCATTTTGGTAATTGTGCATGTGTGTACACAAACTTCAAGAGAGGAGTGCCAGCAAGAAAAAATGATGCTTTAAAACACCCACTGCCTGTCAAACTAGCTTGGAGAGAAGTGCCATCGTCAGCTCTTACAGCTACATTTGTCACTGGTTGCCATCTTCCACTTTACACTCTCTCCCAACACTCTCCAATAACTTTCCCCTCTCCTATTTGGGCTGCCATCAGCCTTTTTTCTCCTCCTCTTCCCTGGCACAGCACTGCAGTCAGTCCTGCTCTCCTGTCCTGTACTACCTCTTTCTTTTCAGACAGCAACTCATCCCTTGCCCTCTCCTCACCAGTCCAGTTTTGACTCCTAGCACTGCACACAAACAGGGCTTGAGGAGCAGGAACACCCTGCTGAGAAGCAGCTGCTTTCTAAGCCCCAGTAACTTGATAGTTGACAGCTTCAGAAGTGTGTGTTTTCTTCTCCAGCATTCTAAGACTCCGTTCTGTTTCTCTGTCACGCCATCTGCATATATTTCAGAATATTTTCCTCATACAGTCTAACTTCTTACAGACTTCCTTAAGGCTCAATAGTTATTTCTCTCAACTTCTACTGTGTCTTGTCTCTGGACATTAAGTCATGACACTTAGGCTACAGTCTCTACATTAATGACACACAGATGTCATTCTTGCTGCAGTCTATCTTTTAGTCGCTCAATTTAAAAAAAAACAAACTCAGTCTGTCTTGTCTTAAGAGACACAACCATATTATCCTCCAGGGAATAGCTCAAAACAAACTGGGCTGAACAGAACTTTAACTATCTCTCAGCCTGGAGTCATCCATGCTGCCTCCCACATCACAGGGAATGGACCAAGAGGCTGCATTTTTACATATCCTAAAAATATATATTTTTTTTGTGGACAAGAAACAAATATTCATCCTGAGCAGTGCATAGGATCTGATTAAATATGACTACTTAAGTCCCATTTTGTAAGTACTGACTGTGTAACCTTCCACAGCTTTGATTCCATTTCTCCTGAAGAAAGGCACAACAGAAAACAGAAAATTACATGAAGAATGAGAAAAGCATTAATATTTCACTCTCTATATCATGTTCACGTTCTCAAGAAGAATATAATCAAATGGCAAGAAGATGGTAGGAACAGCAAACTGTGAGGGACATATAACATCATTTTCTGCTTAGGAAAGGTGACAAAGTGGAATATGACGAGCTCTCCACAGCTATGCCAGGGTAAGACATGAACAGTTAACTTTTTCTCATAACCCAGGAACGTGAGGGTATGACATGCACTTGGTTAGATGGAAATTTGAAAGCCAGTGATAATTAACATAAGACAAATCAGTTACATAAATCACTGCTCCAGGATGCTGTGGAGGTCAAAAGAATTTTAAGAAACAAAGAAGAACATAGAAATCCTTAACTGGTTTTACAAGTCCTTTATTATTAACTGCTGGAAACTGGAAAGTAATGACTGGAAGGTCACTCTGTATTGAATCTGCTTCTTAATACTGTTATACATTTCTCAGTGTAGACAGAGAAAATGTAGCTGCTGTACCACTGATCTGCCCCAGAATGGCATGATTTAATCTGCAAGAAAGCTGCATGGCTTAGAAGATGGGTTTCATTACAGACAGAGCTGGGGGCATAGCCTGCCTTTTAAAGACTGCCTGCTTCCTGTTTTCAGTATCTGTTTGCCATGTGCTTATGGTCTGCACAACTGGAACTCAAAATTTCAGGCTGAAATTTCTGATTCTACATGTCTGCCTCAGGCTGGATATTTTTACAAAGTTTTGAGTAAAATAGTTCTGCAATTTCTGAGTATATTCCTTTAGCATATCTTGCCCTTCCTATTCTGTCTTCTCTGTCTCATGGTGCTAGGAAACAGCAACTATTTTGATTACAAAAATGTAAAACAAATTACTAATGTAGCAGTTGGACTTCTATTACTCAATAAATGCACTAAACTAGCCCTTACAAGCCTAGATCTAGTTGTCTAAACTGAGGTAAGAAAAACAAAATTCTGGAAATAGAATAAAGAGATATGTTATGTCACATAATGCAATTGAATCTAGGTAGTGAAGTTTTTGAAATTAATTCCAGCAATTTTTAACATGAATCCAGAAGAGCAGGGACTTCACTTAAAGAAATAACATATATGTAGGTAAAAAGGCTTTAAACTGCGTATTTTTTGATATCCTGCAATGTAAGATGACTGACAACACAGTAGCAATTCTGCTTGTATTACAAAATGTCAGCTACAACAACCCTCTGTTCCTTCAGCAGCATGATTGCAGTGCACTGCATTGCAAAAACCCCAGAAGTCTGTATTTACATCTCCACTGGTCTATTCTAGCCACCACTTGTCTGGCTTGACTCAAACTGCACAGTGGAAAAGGAATAATTGCACTTTAATGAAAGGATTTGGAAAGCCACCATGACAAACTGTTACACATTTCAAGTAATGGCTGCCTGCTTGACAGATTTACTGACGGAGCAAACACTGTCACTGCATCCCCAGGAACTGCTCTGTCAAGGGCTGCACTGCATTTGAGCAACAAGTAATGCCTACACCCTCATCTGGAGAGGATGCAATTATACAGACTGCATCATCTCTGCATTTTTAATCATTCTGCATTTAATAAGTTACAGCAACTCCGTATTTGGTCAAAGGCAGATGAGAGAAGGTTTTTCTCCCATGGAGCTCTGCCAGTACCTGATCACAACTCCAGTAGCTCAGGCAAACTTCAGGCTGTCAGGTATCTTGGAAAGCTTCCTGAATTGACATCTCTAGTAATCAATCTCACTGCAACTGAAGATGTATTTCCACAGGAACTTGCATATAGAACTTTGTGTTCAAGAAAACATAAAATTTCCACTTTGAAAAATCTCTAGACTGTAAAATATTTCTATTATTATCATTACCTCAAAACAGTCTACCTGAAGAAAACCTACCAAGAGACACTTAAATTTTTAACCTGCCCCTGATCATACCTCATATACATAAAAGTTTCAACTTTTATCTTGTCTTCCTGTCCATCAGCAAGTGGATTTAAGCAGAGTAACTCAAAATATTCCATTTAATGCTAGTAACATCCTAGGTAAGCAACACTCTCCTGGCTTCGCTCTGAAGTAGCTATCTAATTCTTCATGACATATTTAGTTCTTGATTAGAGCTCCAAAATTATTCAGCTAGAAGAAAAGATATATGCAGTTAAGTTTGGCGGAAAGAAACGTAATTCATCAGATGTTTTGGAACTTTTTGGTACTAATTTTTATTATTAACTTCTATCAATTTCATCACTGTTGAGTTTTGAAAGATCTTGAAAAGTATTCAATCTAACATCTCTTAGAACCCCAATAATTAATTTTTGTATTTAAATATTAAGCCAGGATCAATTTCACCACTTAAATGCTCTTCAATATTTTCAATAGTACTACTTGTTAATTCAGACTTGTTTTTACTCTCTTGTGGTTTGTGAGTCTTGTTTATACTGATGAAGATATAATTATTTTATTTAAGTATTTTCAGAGCAATTATTACCATTTTAAATACAGTAACTGGAAAAAAAAAATCCACTACTATCCTGCTGACATGTTTATTTTTAATCTAGACATCAGCACCTACCTATTTTCATAGGATTTTTCTGATTCTGATTTTTATCAGAATTAAACTCTGAAATTTCTACTCTACTTTTAATCTAGACATCAGCACCTACCTATTTTCATAGGATTTTTCTGATTCTGATTTTTATCAGAATTAAACTCTGAAATTTCTACTCTGACTGAAGTCAAACAATGCATTCAAAAGATAACAGAGTAAGTTTTAAGAAAAAGGCCACCTAAACTTTGCTTCCTCAGGAAAAAAAGGCTAGAAGCAGTACTAACTCTTACAGAGGGTTTTTGGAAAAAATGTTCAACTGTTCTGTATACTGTACCTGCATAGGACCCGGAATGCAAGACAAAACCCTCTCTATGTTTTCAGAATTCACATCGACATCATTTACAGCAACAAGAACATCTCCTGGAGGTGGAACAGACAAGAAATGAGAAATTCAGTTGCCACTGCATCACAATACAGAGCAAAACAGTCTTACTTAAAAAATTAATGTACCATTCAAGCTGTCATAAATGTCCATTTGTTATATGTAAGCAGATGTTTTTTTACATGCAATGTTTACCACTTTTAGTCTATTACCTCACTGCTCCTCAGGCCTTATGGCCACACATCATTTGACAAAAATCACAGAAATACAGAGCGGTTTGGGCTGGAGGGAACCTTGAAGACCATCTAGTTCCAACCTCTTGGCACAGGCAGGGAAACCTTCCACTAGACCAGACTGCTGCAAATTCCATCCAACCTGGCCTGGAACACTTGCAAGGCTGGGACACCCACAGCTTCTCTGGGCAATCCTTTCCAGTGTCCCACCATCCTCACAGTCAAGAATTTATTTTCTCATATCCAATCTAAATCTACTGTCAGTTTGACGACATTCCCCCTTGTCCTGTCACTACATGTCTTTGTAAAAAGTGTCTCCCCATCTTTCCTGTATGCTCCCTTCAGGTACTTCAAGGCCACAATTAGGTAACTGTGAATCTTCTCCAGGCTGAAGAATCCCAATTCTCTCAGCCCTTCCTTAGGAGAAGTGCTCCATCCCTCTGATCATCTTGGCGGCCCTCATGTCTCTCCAAGTCTCTCTTCTCCATCTAGTCTTGTTACCTGACCAGAAAACATAGCAGATTTCTCATTTTAGTCCTTTCTCTTCCATTCCTTGTCCCTGCTGTGGGTTCTCCTCTCCGTGTTTTTATCTGCCAATTTTTCCTGCCTAACGGCATCTTCTATTTTCTACATATGACACGCTTATCATCACTGGAAATGGGGGAAAAAAACCCCTTAGGGTCCCAAAGTCATTAACTACAAGAGAAAAAGGTTTGAAAAATTAAAGGCACCACCTACAAAAGCAAACAGAAACAAATTATAGCTTACAAACTTAAAATCCACATTCCATTTTAAAGTACAAAAGTCAAACTGGGATTTCTACATCAAGTGAAGGAAAATATTCTCAAGAAGTATTCCCAGTGGTAATTAATTGATAATCTATACCTCATCCCCCTCAAAAAGATGCATGTTAAAGCATGGAATATGCAAGAAGGATATGAAACCTGTGGAAAACAAGACCAACTTGTGAAACCAGAAAACATAAAATAACATCAAGAGATAAAAGTACATAGACCTGTCAAAAAGAATAGAAATTGGGAAGTAAAAATAAAAGGATTTTTGATGATTCATTGTTTGGCCTTTCCTTGGAATGTAGGTGAGCTCTCCCATCCAGAGTATTCCTGACAGTCCTATTCACCGGTACTCAAGAAAAAAGAAATCAAATGAGATCAGATAGACAGAAGTAATACTGCAGCAACCATAGGAAATTAAGAATCTCTTGGTTAAACATAAGGTGAGCAGAGCCTAGGTGAGAAAGCAGCTAGAGTAGAAATCAAAAGGTTCTGCAGACCCTAACAAGAGAATTTCTACAAAACTTTCCAATAAAGGTACTTGGAGCAAACTACATAGGATGAGGCAATATAAACCTATGAAAAGAACTGTAAGAAGCGATTGCCAGCGGCACCAGGATTTGATGGTTCATTAGTCCCTTCACAGAGGCAAATATTCAACTTTAGAGTAAGAAAATAAACTTATTTTCTATTTGATTTTCTTTGGTGGCACTCTTAGTTGTCTCTGCTTTCTCTTGTGAAAAGCTTAGTTTCTAGCTTGTATCTTCTGTAGATAGGGAAATAAATTAGCTTCTTATTTAACACTGAAAGTTACCAGATTCTTATGTGTGAACTAAAAGCACCAAGAGCTCCTCTGAATGAGCAAGTTGAAAACCAAGCTTCATTTTGCTTGAGCAGCCCAAAAACTCCCCGAGAAAGTACCTCCACATCCTCTCCAAGATTATTAACATGGTGTTCATCACTCAGGCAGTGGAAAGGGATTAGAAAAAGGATATGCATTTGCAGCAAAAGTGCATGTTTAGCATAGTTATAGTTGAAGCCTTGACTTGGCAACAAGTGCAGAAATAAAGCACTTAAGCACTGTAAGTTTCAGTGTGTATTTCAATTTTCCAGGGAGAAAACTTGCTCGGCTCAAACTGACACAATGCTAATGACATAGCACACTATGGAAAGGCACAGCCTGAGTCTCTAAGGTCTCTCCATTCCCTGAGAATCTATGCAAGGCCATGGAATGCTGAAGTTCAGGAGAAGACTGACAGTTACCATTATTTCTATGTTCTACCTTGTTTTTAAATACCTTCAAATTGCAACTGGGATTCTTCCCAGATACAAGGTCAATTGCTCAAAATCAGTGCAACACAATCAAGGCCAACGAGAGACATAACTAACCAACAGTAAGGAAACACTGAATACCTCTAAAATGCAAGCAATATTCCTCTTTAATACACCAGCAATAACTGCTCACTGTTCCTTTACATTAAAGGCAAATTCATTCCTACTCTTTCTGAATGCAAAACCAAGAAAAGGCTACATTTTATTCTACGTATAAAAATGTTTAAAATTTTTCCTCTATGTTTCTTGATGCAGTTAAGTTTTAGCCTGTCAAATCTTCAACACAACAGTAATTCAAAAACAGAAAAGCTGAAAGTCAAACAGTATTTAAAAGGAACTCAGTAAGTCCATGCCAGAACCCCAGGACATGAAAATTAGTAATGAAAAGCAGAGCACTCAGGCTACTCTAATATAACAAGAATTATAAACAGGATTACTATGTTCTTTCTTAAGAACACTGTATTACAGATCATAATACACAATTACAAGAGAAAGCATAAATTGCTCTTGTACTCATCTTAAACAAAAGTTGTTTGTGTTCTGTTTGTTTGACTGTATTCTTAGGAATCCTGTTGTAAAGCCATTCAGGCGAGCTGCACACACTTTGTGAAGACATCCACACCTCAGCACTTGAGGGAATGTTTTGGAACCACCAGGATAGAATAGACAAAGACACTTGGAAAGAAGAAGAGCCATCAGTATTTACATGTTACATACTCCAAATGTTTTATTTATTCAGTGTCTAATGTACACATGTAAAACTTTAATTGCAGCAGTAAATATTTATTCCATCCAATTGGTAAAAATGTAATCATGGACCATACATGGAACAGCTTTCCAGAGCACACAGCCCAAGCAGTCCGGTAAGTCTGGCTGCCTTACAGGAAATGCTCTATCACTATCAAAGAAGAGCAACTTGATACACAACAAAAAATCATTACTGATTAGTATGAATTTTCCAGAATTGGAGGTGGAGGCAGTGAGGGTAGGTGTTTGTATTTTTTGCTATTTTATTTTTGCAACATACAACAGCAGCTGAAGAATAGAGACTAGGAAGTATCAGAATAAATAACATCACTGGGCAAAGTAAGAGCTGTGTAAAATTACCCAGAGTAGTTTTGAAGAAGGACATGACCACAAGATCTACTCAGTGTGCTAATTAACTGCAGTGAAAGAGTTAATAGATGCAAGTCATACTTTTTAAGAGCCTGACATCTACATTTTATTTGAGAATTGCTTCCTGCCCTTTAGCAGAGTGAAAAACTTACAGAAAGACTGATTCAGGTCTTCAAACATTAATTACGTCAAAAAATTAATGCAATTATATTAATCTAATTTCATTTACCTAATGATTAAACAATTGAGGTTAAATGAAAATAAATTGTATATAGAATATATACAAAATAAACAGATTTTGCAATGAAGCTGGTTTAAGTCAATGGTCTGCAGAGTTAAGTCAAACCATCCCAATCAAAACCTCATTGAATTACAGATATAGGGGAGAAATATCAGAACAAAGTATCACTCAGTTCCATTTTCAGAGATGCAGTGAGCCACTGCAACAGAGGAAAGGAATTTTCTTCAGGCAGCTCCAGGATATCATTGCTTAAGTCAACAAATTTATCTATAGAAAAAAGACATGTCCTTCTGGAAGAAAGTAGTTTAGATTACATATTAGGAAGAAATTCTTTCCTGTGAGGGGGGTGAGGCCCTGGCACAGGTTGCCCAGTGGAGCTGTGGCTGCTCCATGCCTGGAAGTGTCCAAGGCCGGGCTGGATGTCTGTAGTGTGGGGTTAGGACCTTTAGGGGCTCTTCCAACTCAAATTGTTCTATGATTCTATGACTCATTTTAAGGAATTAAGTAAGCTTTACTTAAATCTCATCATAATGAATGATCAAGCTTTTGAGTGCTATAACTTAACTGTGGAAAGATTCTCAGTTCACAAAGAAACTTTAAGATATCCATACATGTTCTCTGCACAATGTTAAGCAGGGCTGAACTTTACCTGAGTGATGAAACAGAATTCCCTCTATTTTATTTGCTCTCATTAGAAGAGACTTCTCCCATTCAGTCAGCAGCAACTAAGACCAGTGTGTGTTGATATCAAACACCCAGTCAGCACACAGATGATAGAATTATTCCTGCCTCTTTAATGACAAAGTTTAGGAAAGTCTTTGGAACTGCTGACATCCCTAAATATTTATTTCACAGCTGCCTAGCTCTCTGCCACTCGAGGCACATGACCATGAATTAACCATTCCTTCCCTAGAGATAAACCTGCAAGCACCATTTCTAAAAGTAGATCCCCATTGCATTGAGCCTAGGGACACAGACTGGCAAGTGAGCACCACTTCCATACTGTGATAGGAAAGGCACATTTTTTTTTCTGAAATCAAGAGAATCAAGTTGTTCCCATGGGAAAGGATGGAGGACACTTTTGTCATGGAATCCTAATATTTAGTTTTCTCCGTTCTTGGTAATAACTTGGTGGGAGCATTTATAAAAGTTCCCATATGCCTTTTCCAAAAAAGGCAAACTACGGAATGCATTCCCACTGAAGAAAAGCAGATCAATTATTTGTTTTATATGTTAGCAGGCTGCTTTCATCCAATACCAGTGCTGCGGTGCTTCAAGAGGAGATTAAAGGAAAAAAAGCCACATCCCAAACGCCACAGTGAGAACACAGCAGAGCTTATACAAACTCCATTTCCATCTTGTGAGCCCAGCATCTCTACTCTGGAGAGCAGAGATACATCATGTATGGTAATTCCATGTAGAAATCACAAACCCTCCTGTATTTTGGTCCTTTCAAGGGCTTTTTTTTTCTGACAGGACTCTAAGGACATAGTCCTTTCAAGTGAAATTTGCAATAGCAGCTGTAGCTTTTGCATACATGTTCAAAACTGGAGTATTATAGCCCATATCTTTACTATCAAACAATTCCCGTCAGTGGGGAGTTTTCACAATTTTTTGACAATAGTACATACTGATGAAGTGAGAAGATTCATGGTGAGCTATTTGGTTATGAGAGCAGTAAGATACTTTCAAAGAGGACAACGACAGTGTGCTTCACTAGTGAAAAGAGCTTTGCTGTATTTTCAGTATCATTGGAATTAATTTTTTATTTTACTATGGTAAAGATGATGCTCAATAGTATTTACAAGAACTTTTCCCCAGCATGGATCCAGCAGGTTTCAATTTGAAGGGGGTGGGAACCAAATTATAATGGCATTACCCATCACAACCCTTTTTTGTCAGGATCTAAATATGAGTATTTTATGACGTTTTTCCTCTTTGAAGATATGCTCAAAGTTTTCCACAGCAGACGAAGCTTTGCATAATGTTGCAAATTAACTAAAGTAAGGAAAATGTTTTGCCAAAAATACAAAAGACACTTAAAAAGCACGAGATAGAAGGAACTGTATTTCATCTTAACCAGAATGAAAGTGATGGCGAGTTTAAAAATCAATTAAGATGGATGCTGGCCTGCTAAATGAAAAAAAAAAACAAAAAACAAGATAAATTAACTGATAAACAACACATGAATAGAGTGCCATCTTTTTAGAGCTACAAAGCAGCAGGGTTTTTTAGCTTGCAGAACTGTTGTGTTTACTTTCATATGGTCAGTGCCTGCATTCCACTTGGTTAATAAAGTACAGCAACAAGACTTACGACTTCCATATGCAATCTTAAAACCAAAAATTAAAGTGTATCGTGCAAATAATAAACAGATGTTTGAAGTATTCAAAACTATAAAGGACATGCATTTCAAAACAAATAGGAGAAGCCACCTGAGGAAAGTGACTATTGAGGATGGAAAAAGAAGGTACTTCCACTAAAAATGCTGAAGCATAAACCACTTCGTGAGTCAAAATGATTGCTGCAAACTGGTGATCAGGAAGACAACCAGATGTCATTTTAAAGCATGTATTTTAAAAGGAAAATATAATTTGGATTTGCCTCACAAAAGACTACTGCCAAGCTAGTCTGGACCACTGAATTATTATAAAGCTAAACAAGAACCGGTTAATGTTTATACACATACAGGTCAATGGAGATTAATAAAGTTATAACCAGAGCAGCCAGCAGGCATTGTGCTGTGCTGATCAGGTACTCCTCCTCTATGATGGACTAAGAAGCTGCTCAATTCTGTGATGATTCTTCAGTTTTAGATTGAACACAAAAAACATCCTTTACTGGCTGTTTCCACAGTTCTCCACACAACTCCTAAAACTGACTTTGATCAAGAACAACTTAAAGGCAAAGTCCTGCTGTCATTGTTCTTGAGCTTTCTGTCCACCTTCAGCTCCTGTGATGATCTGAGGAGCTATCTATTGAACTCTAGTTGCTTCTACATCAGGCTTTAGGTGTACACCACAGCTATCCCATCCTGTGATGTGCACTACAAAAGCAGTAAACCCGACAGATTTTTGACAAGAACAGCACTTTTTTTACTGTATATTCTTTATGCAGACAAGACTGAAATCCGAACATCTAATTTATGCAAAGCATCCCTATTTCTAGACACCACATAAAAATTCCAGAGTACTCAGCTTCACTATAGATATATAATTTGAAAGTATTTTTATATGAAAATTATACATTTTCCACTGTTGGCACTGAACACAGCTCATTTTCCCAGTTAACAGCTGAATAACCCCAGTATGCTTAAAACTATTTCATTTCCAATGTGCAAAAAACACAAGGCAAGGGCTGATGATAGCCTGGACATCATAAATATGCAAGACTCTTCTTAGATGAAGTTAAATGTTCTCCTATTTGAAACAAACAAAAAAAAACCAAACCTTATTTTTTGTCCTCACTAGCTCTGGGAAACATTAAGTGCAGCAGATGAAACGCTATCTCTGGTTAGGTCAGCTTGATCTCCTGGATCTGGCACTTGCCTACACTGTTCTGATTTCACACCTGCTCTCACAAAAATGTTATATACAAATCTGTATCCCAAAATTAACTTACAGGTTACAAACACCCACTCTTACACAAATTAGATTAAAAACCCTTAAGCAGATCAAGTTGAACCTTGCTCTCTCCTCCCCCTCAGCCCACATCCCCCACTTCTTGACTAATCAGTTCTGGCTGGTAAAATCTGAAAGTTATCCAATTTTCCCTCTGGAGTATTCTTTCGCATCTCTACCAAAAACTCGTGCTGGAGCAGTCAGCCAGCTGAAGCACGATGTGCCTTTTTACACACACAACACTGGAATTTCAAAAGAACTCACGCTGACTTTGTGGGATCTGTGCTACTTATAGCATTAAGATTTTTAATGATCGTCTAACCAACATCACATCTTTGCTCTCCCACTCTGTGAGCAACAAGCTTCAAGGGTAATTAAATAACCTTTCACCCTTTACAGATGTGGCCTGGTTGTCTCACATTTACTGTCTCTGAGGTTGATGTCCTGTGAGTGCCAAGTTTTTGAGTGGCCTCAGTGCTGGGAGTGGAAGCATTACTGCTCCCTCATTACCCCTCACAGCAGTTAATTCCCCTCCATCATTCACATTTGGGTGCCTGTCAGACCTTCTGTGACCCAAGTTTAACTTACTGCACCAGCAAAATACTAGACAGCCAATTTTTCTTCTGGGTTAGTTTCCTGCCAGATTATTTCATCAGATCATGGAAGTGCCCGAGCAGCTGTACTGGCTCACTGCCTCCCCAGACTACAGCCCTGCCATGGATTTCAAACCTCCCAAAGTCACAACTGCTGAGGAAGCTTCTGTTAGACTTGCTAAACAGAGGAATAACCAAACAAGGCTGTGGACAAAGTTTGTAACGTAAGAATGTATCTTACTCAGTATTTTTTCCCCTCATTTTTATGATACAAAATCCATTTAAAGGACATATAAGTAAAGCTTTTTATCTAAAGGGGATGCTGTGGAGAAGAACGAAATCTAAGTACGGTACCTGACAGTCTATAGGTTTGCTCCAGTCCCACTTATCTACTGATCAAATCCTCAGCTAAAATCCTAAGTGAAAGGTGGTGATGGGGTATTTCCCGCTCCAAGCTGATCAGACTCTGAACACTAAGGGATGGTCATCCCTTACTGTATGAACACCTTACAGGTTATGCTACATATTCTAAAAAGTAATAACACAGTAAAACTGACTAGGTACCAAACCATCAGATGCAATGATACTGACTTAAAATAACCTCTCCAGAAATGATGTAATTGCTTATGTCTCAAGAATATTCAAGTCAGCTGCCTCTAACAGCAAAATCCCCATAAATCTTCATATTAAAGGAAGAGTGCAGAAGTTAGCTATTCCTTTCAGTTACTTACCAATCAGGATTTGACCTGTTTTCATTGCAGAACTACCTGGCACCAAGCCATGTACCACAAGCTTCTCTTCACTGACTCCTCTGGTGGCTTTATCCCTCCTGCCTTGTTTTTCCACTCTTCTGCTGCTCCATGAAGACTGATGGACAATACCTACTAATGCTTCCAGCAGCCTCTGCTGCTCTTCTTCCCCAGCACTGTAGAGTTTTCTGGGATTTACATAAACAGATACATCTTTATACCTCTGCTGAACAGTGACACCCATTTTTTGAGCAGACCGGTGTTTCAATATGGAAGTAGGACCAGAGGGGTGCGCACTACAGCTTCCACTGCCTTTCTTACCAGAACTCTTTGGTAAAAGACTTTTCCTTTTTAGCATTTTGGTCCATTTCTTCAGTTCATACTTTCTTTCCTTTCGTGATCCCTCTTGAATAATTTCAGCTTCGTTTTCACGAAACCGGACATGATTCACTGCTGGCATTTCTGGACAGCTGTTCTGAAGCAGAACTTCTTCTTCACTTTCACTTAATTCTAAATAAAATAATTCTCCATTTTTCTGCACACTATCCAACCACTCAGGCTCAAGGTCACTGGAAAAGAAAGAGGAATGATCAATGAGTTCTGATAAGGAAGATCACTGTGCAAGTGAGATCTGATTATTTTAAGTAGGAAGGGGACAGAGAGAGTGCAAGGGTTGAATAAAAAGTAGGAAAACAAAATAATGGTCCCCTGAACATTGTCAGCTCAGGAGGGTTAGAGCTTGCACTGCCAGGAGATTTAGAGCTTGTTTTAGATAAATGATGGATATGGCAAGGAAAAACATCCCTCTCACCAGTAAAATAGTTTCTCCAAATGCCTTAGAGGAAAACAACCATTGCAAAATGCAGTATTCTCTTTTCAGAAAACAAACATTTCTTTGACATGCAAGTTTTAATTAGCAATTACATTCATGTGCATGATGGAATTTTCTCTTAAGAGAAAAAAAAAAACATTCTGTTTGTTCTCTCCCATTATTTTTTCCTTTATGCATTTGTAATAGAATCATTGCATGATTATTGAGGTGGTCCTGTGCAGAGCCTGATGATGGACTTGTTTATCCTTGTGGGGTCCTTCTAACTCATGATATTCTGTAATGCTATGGGAACACAGATTGCCAGCCCTTTGGAAAGGGAAGATAAACATTTTAAAAATCACTTAGCTTTAACATTAGAAAAAAACCTCAAAACAATCTAAAATAAAATCTAGGTAACAGATTTAAAAATTCAAGTTCCAAATAGCATCTGCAAATAATACACACTAAAAATGCAAAGGGGCAGCACTGCTACAGAAACAGATCTGGCAGCTGGTGTGGATCACCCAAAGTCAAGAGCAAGACACTTCTGCAAAGCAAAGGCAAAGCAGCTCTAGGATATAACAGAAACATCATCAGCACAGTGCAAAAAAATTTTTGTCCTAATTTGGCAATGGTGATGTATCAGCCATGTCCAGTTTTGGATAGTAGGTTTTAAGAAAGATGTAATAACTGGAACACACCCAGAACAAAGAGACAAATGCTATATAGCCTATAAACACATTTAAAAGGAAGGAGACTGAAGGAAATAATCTCTCTTGGCTGAGGAAAAAGAAGAAAAAAAACCAACCAAAAACTGCCTGCTGAGGGGCAATAGACCAAATGAACCTTGAGGAGAACCATGGAGTGTTACTCCAGATACATGAGAAGCCATAATGGCCAAAGTAAGAGTCCCCAGAGGTTTAATTATCTGAGATGTTCTGCATGGAAGATTTTCAGAACAGACAAGACCAGTTAATTCTTCCTAACCACATGAGAAAAGGTCTCTTTGTTTCATAAAAATCACATAAGGAAAAAAAAGACTGGAGATTTACATAATAATTAATATAATAGTTTAAAGTCAACACACATTTGTACATTTTGCACTAGAACTACTTTTACTGAATAAAGAGTGAAAATCTTTTTTAAAGCTAGTAATAAATATTCAAATAGAGCATTTATTTGAAAATACATATAAATGATCAAGTTTAGCTGAACAGAGAACATTACACAGATATTGCACCAGAGCACCTTTAAGGGCTCAACAAGAGGATCTGGGTGGACTAAAAATACAGAAAACATTGGCATTACTCTCCTTCTGGAGTCCCAATTATTGAGAAAAGTCTATGGATCTTGTAGGCAGGAAGAAACATCATTTCTCCCCTATGCATTTATCAGCTTTTTTTCCCAAATAGATAGTTTAAAAGAAGAGCCAACACTTGTGATAATTTGGATCCACCTGAGGGATAAATCCAAGTTTGTGATTTTTGCTGAGTTGTACTCATAATCCTGAGTTCTCATTCAAGAAAGTATCAGAATACTAACAAAATCTAAAGGCTGTCAAGGGTCTTTCTGATCCAACATCTCTCAGAAGGTGGTAGGTAGAAATAACATGAGAAAAGTTTTTCCTTGGTTTGTTTTTTAAGGAGTACTCCCACATTCTGGCATATGTAAGCAAAATTAAGCAAAACCAACCAAACAAAAAAATTCCAACAAAACCCAACCAAAACAAACAAACACCAAACCAACCATTCAACTCCCCCCCCCACCAAAAAAAAAAAAAAATCAAAACCAATAAACAAACAAAAAAGGAAACAAAAAAGAAAACACTAGAAATTTATAAACAAATAACATCTGGACTAGCAAAAACTTCTGTCATGTATGACAGCATTTTTATTCCCTCTTTAAAAAAAGACTCTGATATTTGGAAAAGCTGTTTCTTCTTTGGGGTAAATGTCAATATTTCAGCCGGGACATGAGTTCATACAGTCATGTTCTCCAGCTTTGTTCTCTTATTTAGAATAAAACAATATGGACCATTGGCAAAGGAAAAAAAAAAAAAAAAAAAAAAAAAAGGTAAAAAAAAAGGTGAGGGCATTCTGGTGGTTACTCTGGACTCATTCAAACAGAACCACTCCAGAGAGAAGTCAAGAAGGAACTGTACTGTAAAAAAACTCTCACTTCCCCAACAGAGATCCACACAGACATCTGGAAAAGCAAATCTGAAATAAGAAGTCTGCACCTAGGCTGAGAGGTTTTTTTCCCCCTAATGCTGTAGTGTCACAATAAATGTAAACCAAGCAAGGCAAGAAAAAAGGAAAAAAAAATATTTTGATCTCTTTTCTCTTGTGTCAAAACAAGTGCTTACACAATAACCTCAACTTGCCTCTAGGACTGGAAGCTTCAGTCAAATGAGCTAAAAAACTTGAAGGCCTGCATTTCTCTGAGAGTAGTTTCATTGACCCCACACAGTTATTTCCTCTTTGGAATAAATGTCTGAAAAACTGTGCTGATTGAAGGTGTCCATTTTTGGAAGAAAAATAAATTAGAAAGGCTCCAAGTTCTGCTGGATAAATTGTTATACATTTTTAAAACTATTACACATATTATTACAAGTAGTAGGCATGCGTTATGTGCTGAAATCTGTGGAACAGCTTTATCCCCTAAACACATATAATGAATAACTGTAAAATGGCATTTTAGACAAAAGAATTGAGAAAAGAAAAAAACCCAATCACACAAAATAGAAAAAAGATCACTTCAAGCTGAAATATTACAGTTGACTTCTGGCTTATAAATATAGGAATAAAGTAAGGTAGGTGTACCAACAACAGCTTTGTGTCTGAGCCAGAGGTACAGGGCAATTACAAATTAAACTAGGCTTGAACACAATTCTAACTTCTCCCACTTACTATTTTTCCCCCTCCACTGTGCAGCATGATGAAACTAACACGCTGAATGAAATGCTATTGATTAGACCACGAAATACACATTTGAAGTGTCAAGCACAGCTGTCTTAACACAGGGAACCAAGCCAATGTTGTAAGCTGCAAACCAAGTAGTTGTTGTAAGTTGTACTTCATCCGAATTAAAAAAAATATACCAATAAGCTAGAATCCCGGAGGCTGCATTTGTAAGTTTAAAATATGTATTAATACAGAATAGATATTAATACAGAATATGTATTCTGTGTATTTCAGAACTATCTTCTGACTTAGACAAAAGATGTGTGAAATAGACATTCAAAGTGTAAAGTACAGCTGTTTTAACACAGGGAACCAAGTTAATGTTAGAAGTTTAACTCCATCCGAATTAAAAACCACGGAAATAAACTATAACCCTGAAGGTTGCATTTATAGCTTTAAAACACGTATTCCTACAGAACTGCCTTCTGACTTCAGACACTAAAATGAAATACGACACCTTCCTCGCTAAAGCGTGTGCCCAGTCCCTCCTTCCCCTCCGCTTCCCGGCGGGGACGCGGGACTCGGCGCAAGGACTGCCCGCAGCTGAGCCCACGCCGCGTTACCGTCAGGGACACACTGCGGGAATCCTCGCACGGCTCTCTGCTGCTGGAGCCAGCTCAGCTCAGCTCAGCTCAGCTCAGCCCGGCCCGACCCAGCCCCGCACCGCCCGCAGCCGGGCTCCGCTGCGCACGGGCGGCGCGACCCCGGCCGAGCCCCCGCGGCTCGCCCTTCCCGGCCCCGCCCTTACTCGGAGCTCCCAGCCAGCGAGGAGCCGGAGGAGCCGCTCTGGCTGCCGGTGCCCGCGGGCTCAGCGCCGTCTCCCCCGGCCGCCTCCTCCATCCCCTCAGCGGCGCCGCTCCCGACGGGCGCCCCGGACGCCATGACAGCCGCGCGCCGGGCGGGGCACGTGACGCGCGCCGCGCCCTGCCATTGGCCGGCGCGCCGCCCGCCATGGAGACGGAGGGACGCGCGAGCGCCCGGCCGTGAGGCGCCGTGCCCGGGGGGCGAGCGGGGGGCGAAGCGTCGCCTCCATCGCCCCGGGAATTCCCGTGTGCCCGGCCTCCCCCCGCCCGCCAGCGCCTTTCCCTGGCTCAACACGCAGAACCAGGCTTTATTTAGTTTATTTAGTGCCAGCGCCCGTCCCATAAAAGACACCGTTAGTGAAATTCGGGAGACCTAAGGTGAGGCTCAGAGCATTGTAAGCCAATCAGGAGGGGGAAACGTGAGGTAAATGTGGTTCTGGCGTCAGCTGGTAAGCAGTGGAATGCCTCTGTGCTTTATTTTATGTGCTGTTGTATCGATTTAACGAGCTGTGAGAAATTAAGGTAGGTTCTCCCTAGGTTTGTCAGGAGAGCAGCGCGGTTCAGAAGCAAGGATGCGACAGACCCAAAGAAATACCTTAAAATAGCCCATGCAGTCTGCACGTGTAAAATCATGCACAGTCGAGAGAGACACAGAAAAACCCCAACCCTACACGGTTTTCAGGACTTAAATTATTCACATCCATAAAAAAAAACATGCACAATAAAAAAAAAAAAAAAAACAAAAAAAACACACACACAAAAAAAAAAAAAAAAAAAACAAAACAAACCCTACTCGGTTTTCAGGACTTAAATTATTAACATCCATGAAAAACAAGACCTATGGCAGCCCTGCAGACAACTTGCTGTGTAGCTGTGTCAGTAAACCCATCAGGACACACATGGTGAGTAGGGAAAGGGATGGAGAGTAATTGTTGGAACATGTTTCATGTACTGGGTTTAATCTCTGCTCAGTGGGATATTTGCACAGCTTCAGCAGTGAGGTTTTATAGCGCTGGAACACTACAGAGGAGTGACAGAATCCTGGTATGAAATTGCTGTACTTGAAATTGCTTTGGGGAAGTGTATATTAGTAAGTGTGATTTCAAGCGAATTAGCAGACAGAAATGTTTTGGACTCACATCCATGTGATTAAGGCTTCAACTGGAGTAAAAATACCTATATTAAGTACTGGGGCCATTCTGAAGTCCCTGGACAAGACCTGATTTCACAGATAAATTACTGTTGCATGCTTATTAAGACTACAAACGTATCCAGAGGGGGAGAGAGAAACATTTCCTAAAAAAAAAAGCTTGTGCTACTATGGTTTCATTTAGAAGGTGGGATATACTGTCCCACCCTCCCTAATTATGCTTACATTTGCAAGCACTTCTAATACACCGAGCAGCACACTGAAGTGTTTCTGTAGAGAAGTGATAGTCAATGCCAGATGGTGCTGTGTTAGTTAAATTTCACTGAGTTCAAGAGCTGATTAATTGGTTCCAGTTGTTTGCTCACTAAGTGAGAAATACAGGCTCTCTCTCAAGGAGGCAGTGGTTTTACACCACTTGCTATTTTATAGGAATAAGCATATTATGAATGGAAGGATGATGGAAGGCTTTGGTCCTCTGAGAGGAGTAGCTGGGAGCCACCTAAAGACTTTGCTGAAACGAATGTGGAATTTCTGCTGCTGTGGGAACAATTAAAGATTGCAGGATATATCTCACACAGCAGGATCTTATTTTAGTGAAGACACAGATTTTCCCACACAATCCCTCTTGAGAGGAAAGCCTCTCATTTCTTGGGCATAAATATTAGGATGAAACTTGAAATAATTTGTCTTCTGGCAGACACTTTACACTTAATCCGAGTAGCTGGGGCTGTTGCTCCTCACTAAAGAATTCTTGAGCCTTTTCATGTTTTTAACATGCAGATGGTAAAAATCTGCCAAAGGGAATCACTAGCATCAATAGCACTGCTCACCTTCACTAGACAACTGGGTAATAAGCACTTAGGAATGGATAATTAAAACCTGAAGGTTGTTCTGACTAGCTGTTCATGCAAAGAACTAAATGCACGTGTGGAAATTTATTTCCTGAGCAAGAGTTTCTTGTTACTTTTTTTTTTTTTTTTGGCTTAACCTGTTTCAGAAGCTGTTGTGCTTTAAAAATAATAGCCTGCCTTGATCTATGCTTATATTCAGAAGGAGAGTGAAGTTAAAAGACAGTGTATAGGACATATTGGTTCCATGCTTCAAATGACAGCTCTTCATTAGTGCTAATGAGATAAGAATGCCTAAGTGACTTGTTAATGTTTCATTTTTTCCTTTCTTGATTTCCAATGACTTAATATTTCCAGGAAGGCTCTACCAACAACTGGATAGACACAAAGATACACTGCAGATAAAACATGATCCGTTGCAAGCAGATAAAACTAAGAGGGAAGTAGTTTCATCTTTGTTTTTCAGTTGTGTTTCTTGCTAATGCCTGTTTACTGAAAGAAAAACTAACCAAAAAATATGACTGACATTATATTTCAGCTATTGATTCCAGGGTTTTTTTATTCCTCCAGGGTACAGCATGAGCAACATATATCAGAAATAATTCCCTCTTTTTTAAAGATTAATGACAACAACACAACTTTCCCTCCCCTGCCCAAGTGTTTCTTAAAGGACAAAATACATATTTCACAAGGATTCCTTAATAATGAAAATTTTTTTTAATTACAAGGTTCCCATAAAACTGTTTAACACTGTGATTTAAAAATCTTCTGTTCACAGCTTCCCTGACAAGACTGTGTAGAGACTATCCACAGCAAAGTGGCATGAATCGAAGAGTGACACTGTCATTTTAATCGGGATATTTACATACAAACAAAATGAAAGCTATCTCTGGGATCAGAAGAACAGAAATTTTGTGAGCAAACACTCTAGTGCTCAATAAATGAAATAAATATTCTGACTTCTTAAGCTTTCTGTATCAGCTCTGATCACAGAAGGTATTTCAGAAGAACACAAAACCAAAGGAAGACAGCCATGAAAAGTCTGGGAAGAGTAGTACAACTCATTCTATTGAAAAACAGTCTTCTAGAGTTAAGAGTTTTCTCCAGAATGAAAAGCAGCTGTAATTTTCTTTTCTTTTTTTTTTTTTTTCTTACTGCTTTTACTTCACCTTTAATATTTTAAATGCTTTTTTTTCGGATCACCTGCTATGCATAGCAGGCATGTCAGGCATGAAAGAAAACCATTATTTGCAGTCAGTCAACATGCAAATGTTTCAAGCATGAGTAGCCTTATTCCACTTTGACTATCTTAACGTAAGCAATACCACGGGGCAGCGTGTTTTTAATCCGGCTCTGAAATAGAACATTTTCTGTTAAATCACTGAAAAGTCCATGGGGTTCTGTTTGCACTCGAGCACATTTATTGTGCATAAAGCAGCTCAGAGTGCCGTGCCGGAGCAGGCTGATTGCAGCGTGCCCTCCTTGCTGTGCTGTGTGTTTGCATCTCCAGTGCTCACAGGAATGGATTTCACACGTCTGACGTCTTGAGCTAGAGTTAACAACCACTTGTTAGTTTCCATAGCAAGAGCTGCTTGGAGCTGGCACTGGAAGTGCCCGTGTGCTTTTTCTGTGCAGCTGGAAATAAACCAGCGTGGCTCAGAAACAGGAAACGGACATTTAGAACTGGAGATGAGCTTCTCTTGGAGTCTGCTGAATGGGATGCGTTTTTCTTTGTAAAGTTTCTGCGGCTCTCAGCTAAGCACATGGAAAATGCCATTAAGGGTGGCTTTCAGTATCCTGCGCGGGCCTGCTGGCCGAGATCCTATTGTCGAGATGTCTTTGTGGGGGAATACCGTGGAAAATCGCACGTTAGGGATGGTGAATGCAGGAGGAAAAGCAGCTGCTTCTCGTACAGTGTGCCGCCTCCTGTGCATCCACTTAAGGATTTCTTTCCCATCCCTCTTGGATTTGTGTGCGAGTTAGACTACATTATCCCCTGCCCTCAGAGAAGGGTTCAAAACGCTTCTGGCATGGATGCAACAGCATCAATCCATATCAAAGACTTATCAGCACGTTTCTCTGCACGTGTAAGAGTCCCGGGCGTAGCCCCGTAGCTCTCCTCACCCGCACATCCTCCTGTTCTCCAGGAAGGAGGGAGGGAAGGTCGAGAGCACCTCGGCTCCCCGCCGGCAGCCACCCCTTCCTTTCCCTTCCCTTGCCGTGCAAAGAGGGGCAGCCCCGGCTCCCGGCGGCAGGACACGGCTCCTCGCCCCTCCTGCCGCCACGACCAAAGGGGAGCTCGCCGGGGCTCCGGCAGCTCCACTGTCCCTCCGCCTGGCGAGTGCTGCCCTGCGGAGGGACAGGGATGCCGGAGCCTCCCGAGCTCGGGAAGCGATCTCGGGCAGCCTCCCCCCGCTCCCCGCCCCGGGCACTGACCTGTGCAGCAGGACGCTCTGCACCGAGTCCAGGTCCTCCAGGTTCCTGGTGACGGGCCGCGGGATGCTGTACCTGCCCGCCCCGAACATCGCGGGCGGGCGGGCGGCCGCCAGCCCCGCATCGCCCGGCCCGCGGCACCGGGACTGCGGGCGGCCGCGGGCAGGTGGCGAGAGCCCCTGAGCCCCGCAGCCCGCCCGTCCCCGCCGCCCGCCCGCGCCCGGGGCCCAGCGGCGCCGCGCCGCGGGGCGCGGGGGAAGCGCGCCCTGCGCGGCCGGGAGGGCGCGCCTGCTCCGCCGCGCCGGGGCACGGTGTGGTTTCTGTCAGGAGCTTGCCAACCGTGAAAACCCCACTTTCAGACAAATAAAGTAAAGCAATTCCTCGCTGCAGCAGCCGTAGATTTCCACCTCCCCCCTCCCACCCAGAGCTTCATTCCCAGCTATGTGAGCAAATAGTTTTTCCTCATGTATTTTCCTGCTGGTCAAAGTAATGAATTGCCCGGTTGATTCTCTTTCATTATGTAACAATATGAATAATGAGCAACTGCACAAAATCCAATCCGGTATTTGATTCCCTCTTCCACAAAATATTAGATACAAGTGCTTTCAGGTGATCACAGGACTCCTTACTGGGTTCCCATCTGTAAAATTCTGATGCAGTATATTGAATGAACAGGGACATGAAGGTATAAAGCCGTATCTTCACCGTTTTTGTTCTTTCCTGTGAATTGCCATAATTGATTTTCTCTGCTTCCTTTTATGGGATCAATTTTCTCTAATTTTTCAAGATGTGGTCATCTCCTCCAGGTTTTCTCCGACAGCTGACATAAGATCAATAACTAATAAAGTCTTGCAATCTGTTGCAAAACCCATGAACTTTAGTTTCCCTCAGACATTGTGCCTGAGGTAATTACAGAAGCACAGCAATGCAGCAGTTTCCCAGAAAGACCATTAAGAGGAGCACCACTGGCATGATAGACAATGGATAGCAAACTAGAAACCACTGAATATTTTAGCACTACACTCAGTGGGATGGTGGCCACCACGTGGAGAAAAAGCTTCAGCTTTTTTGGAGACTTTGGCTTGAGTAGGCAATGGCAACAACTCAGTTCGGAGAGGGTGAATGCAGAATTACCACGATGAGTCTGTGGGTGAGATTCTCACCAAGTAGTGTGACTCAAATATTTAGGTGTTTACATGTTTCCTTTTCTTAAAATTTTGTTTTCCTTTTTTCTTTGATACCAGCATGAAATTTTAAGAGAAGGACAATCCCCTCTGAATCCCACTCCTGTCAAAGATGTGGGGCCACCACCCTCCATTGAGGTGAGTGACAGGACTAAAATAAATAAAAATCCTTTGGCACCAGGGTGCCAGGGAAGCTGAATGTACACCAGGAATTTGTGTCTAAGTAGCAGTTACTGAAGGAGTTTGGCATGTACAGTACCAAGATCAGCATAATGCTTTCACAGTAGACACTGAGTAAAGAACTTTTTGCATTACCCACATCTTGATTTCAGAAAGCTGATGGAAAATTCATAGTGGTTGTGTCACCATTGCCTTAGAAAGACACTTAAGCACCATCCATATTTCAGCCTTTTTCCCTTTTTTATGCCCTGAGGGAACAGAGTTGTTTCATTTGTACACAACAGGGGTGTGTTTTCCCCATTCCCTTAGGACAACATCTACCCCACATCTGGGTCTAGAATTTGATGGCAGAAAACAACAAAACTCCCAAACATTACCATCAAAATCACCCTGTGTGTCCAGAAGGCCTTTTCAAGATCCTTGTCAGCTTTTCTTTTTTCCTGGGCTCCTTCTCATTGGGAGACTTTTTTTTTTTGGTGTTTCTTAAACTACTGAGCTAATGCTGAATTTAATGGCAGTATCATCTGCTACTAGTATTTTACTTTTAGATGGATTTAAAATTGGTTGTGAAGTTCTTTATTAGAATTGCTTACAACTCAGCAAAACTAGAATATGTAAATATAAGTATAGAGACCCCCAAAATGTGCCAAAATGAGAGAAACAGGCTTAGGTTTTGTGTAGCTTATGAAATGGAAGATCACAAAGCATGACACTGCTGACAAACAGGCCAAATTACTAATTCTAAAATCAAATAGAATGTTTTTCTAGGTGTGAATTGCAACTTTTACCACATTTAGTATGCCTAGACTCAATATTTATGGGTGACACAACAGTAAAATGAAAGAGGAGCGGAGAGTCAAAAGTGATACAGTGGATACTTTCAGAGCCGTATATTTTTCCCTGAATGTATTTACATTACCTTAGTTGCACATAAGTTTTTGAAGTTAAAAGACAGGGGTCTGAGCTAGCATTAATCCTGTAGATACCCCAGCCTTTGACATTTACAAGAATTACTTTATTGAGTTTTGTAGATTACAGTTTCACTAAAATACAAAGTGCAATTGCATTGTATTTTCTGCAAGATTTTAGGCCACCTTAGAGGAAGGTCAGGATCCCATTTCAAGTTTGTCAGCTCTTGTATTTGTACACGAATGAGAACATGGCACAACAGCACATTTTTCTCAATCCCATAAAATATGTGCAGTTGGAGAAAGATTATAAAATTCTGCAATACAGAGAAAACCAAACCAATAGGGATTGGGGAAGGAGGAAATTCAACCAGTTTAAATGCACAGAAGTGACAATAATAGAGAATTTTAAGAGACATCCTGCCTACAAAGTAACAATAGCCTACTTGGGCTCCCCTTCTATTTGTGGTACTTTTGCTGCCAGCTGAACTGCCTTGTAAATATCCTTCTGCTTTGTTACAGAACAATTCTGGTGTTACTGATGTAAAAGAAAAAAAGAAATAACAAAATACTCTGATGCTGTGTTTATGATATACTCCTCTTTCTGAAACTATATTGTGTTTTTTCTCCAGCTGATGTTAGGCTCTAGCAGATTATGCAACTATTTCCAATGCTGACTAGGTCAGAAGTTTTTGAGTCATAATCCCCTTCTGGAAAAAACTAAAAGACATGGTAAGGCTACTTTTGCAGTATTCAAACACTTTTAATCTCCTTGACTTGGCTGGTGAGTTTTAGTGTGCCCAGGGATCAAAGATAAGCCAGCATTCATGGGCTGCACAAGGTGGAAATCAGCTTATGACTTCATATGAATGGTGTGTCATTTATGTCATGAGTCATGAGATGTTAGCACATGATGTGGAGAGTTGAAATGTTTTGGGAGAGACTTCATTCCTTCAATTGAAGGGAGAAAGTTCCTATTTTTTTTTTCTATTTGGTCATACCTGTGAGTAAGGGACCCTGTACTTTACTGTATTCAATTCCCAAAGTAAGGACCATGGCAAATGTTTGTTAGGGTACAAGGTTACTTTCCCATTCTGCCATCCTGTCTAGAAACATTCCTTAAATCTACAGGAATTAGTAAAATCAGGATGATTTGGTCTTCTGCTGATTAACAGTGGATAATGTTGGCAGTTCTGTGGTGTGGGCATTGTTGTTCTTGGACAACAGGGTAGGTTCTCCTTCACCAGAACATGCATCCTCAGGCTGCTACTGCCTGTCAGTTGTCATGTTTGAAAGACTGAGGAATGGGATTGGTAGGGTATTTTTCCAAGGGGATGTTTCTTGGCTGTACCTCTTGTCTACAAACAATTGTAAAAATTCTAAAAGGCAGAGGCAACATTCTAATTTTCACTTCTGTCACAATCAGAAATGGACATGCACCTCTAGATTTGCTTTTACTCTCATTGACGCTAGTGGCATATGAAAAAAAACCCCAAACACAGAGAGATTTTGGTGTTACTGCATCACTTAAAGAATAGCTCTTTGTTTTGTGTCTGTGTGGAGGCAGCTGGGTTCACCAAACTGTCCTATTACCTGCCTTGTGTTACATCAGCACTGCACTGCAGAGAGCAGAAGGAACAGCTCTGCTACACTGAGTTTAACCATCTCTTCTTCTCAGACTGCAGGAGCACTGAACATTCTGTGCATTCCAGGCTGTGCCTTCAGCCCAGTCTTGCAGCAGCAAGAAAGAAAACCAATTTATTTGTCAAACAAATCTCCTACAGTTCTGGACTCTCTTCAAAAGCAGCCACAAAGGCAATGCTTTTAGCAAACTGGTGAAGTCAGCAGTACAGGAACCCCTGGAAATACAAATTTATAGTCTGTGGGAGAACCATTAATCCAAGGAATAAGTGATAAGCTGAACAGCAGCATAGGATGATGTCACTCATATCAATCTTTCACTTGTGCAAAGAATCTTCAGCTTGCAGAACAGTGGGGATAGGCTGGCAACATGTGGTTACTTCATGGCCTTTAATATAACCTGCTGGATTCTTATTACTTCCTCTAAGACAGTTTTTGTACCAACGAGAAACCTAAACCTAATTGCAAAAGCCACCCTAAAAATTATTACATGATTCATATATTGCAAAGACTGATAAAACATGATTAGACTTTGTTAAACTGAAGCTGATAAAGTTCTTGTAAACTTGTCTATAAATACAGTTTGTGGCCATGTGCTCTTGTGAGAAACAGACCAGAACCATAAAAAGGGGCAACTTATGTTTTATATGAACATCTGGGCAAAGTATAAGAATATGTGGCAAACATGCTAAATTAAAAAAAAAAAAATCTTTGAATTTTAACCCCAGATTTATTTTTTAGGATTGATTTTAAATCTCTCTCTCCCTCTAATCCTCAGAGTCTGGACTTGTCTGAGTTTCTTGAGGCACAGACTTTGGTGCATTGCTTTGGAACAGCCTGTCTGTAATTTAAAAGTTTAAGAGCAAATACCTTTACTTTAAATATGCCACCTCATAAGACAGCACATTTGGATTAATATGAATTTTCTTTTTTTTGGTGTGATAATCTGAGAGAAGCATATGTAGAATTTCTATGGATTAAACAGTTTATAAAACTAGTTTAATTGTGAGAGAAGTAGGATTAATTTAAAGGCTACAGGCTTTTAAAATTTTCCTATCAGGTGTGTTGGGAATCCTCTGCTTCTTAAATATATAAATGCATAACACCACAAGCAGCCACAACTAATTTACAGCATGAGAAAATAGATACTCTTCTCACTCATTTAGTTTTCATCAGAGGTTACTATTTAAAAATGTAATTATTTTATCAAGCTACAAAATTTTAAAAAAGCAAAATAGCACCACCTGGTGCTGATCAAAGTTTTTACGATCAGTTCCAGTCTCTCAGTTTGAGATTACTGCTGTACAGATAAATAAGTGGCTTTCACAATATCAATTTGAGGTCAGATAAAGAAATAGCCTTATCACTAATTTTATTCTTAATACTTTGGCTCCTTTTTCTTGTAGA